TTAGCATGGCCACGAAAAAAAAGATGTTGAAGAGTATCAATTTTTTTACACTATCAACTTTTGAATAAATAAAAATGTTTATTGTATTTGGAAATGTTTTAAAATATTATCCACATGGTTATAACTTGGTTATCGTCATTTCTCCTAATTTTCTCTTCGAACAATTCACATGGTTATAACTTGAACACTTAGATAGACCGTAGACATTATATTGGATTGGTCATAAATGGCATATGATTGCTTGTACGTGATTTTGTGCAGGGTTGAGAAATCATTACATATTTATTATTTTAGTTGGATTTCTGAACAAAGTAGGAAACCTTCCAACTGGGCCGGCGCCAATTAAATTTATACGATTTTTTTTTTTTTTTTTTTTTTTTTTTTTTTTCTTTTTTTTTCTTTTTTTTTTTCTTCTTTTTTTTTCTTTTTCTTTTTTTTTCATTTTTTTTTTCTTTTTTTTCTTCTCATCAAAACAAGAAATCTAAAAATAGTATCTCAGATACGTATTTTGTAGATTCATGGAACGATTGAATTTCGTACGTAGCATGAGTTTATAAGCTAGATTTCTTATACAGTATATATAGAAAATTAAAAAAAAAATCAAAGTTTTATGTGTGTAAGTCTCCAATTCCTTTTTGAATCCACAGAAATTGTAACTTTGAGAATAAATTATTTCTGGCGTTTTTTGTTGTAGTTTTCCATAGTTCTTTGGAAATGTTCAACACATAAGATATATATATATTTAGATTTCTACTTTAATTTACCATTAAAGTAGATTTCTATTAAGCGATCATAAGATCCATATAACAATGCAGTTTCATAACCGGTTCATAACTAGCAATGAAGTTTGTTGTTAAATACTTGTTTGTTGATATATCAGTTTAAGTGCTTTTGGATTACAATAAGAATTTTCAAGCATAGCTAAATATTGCGTTAAAAGTATTATTATAGAAAACTGTTGTAGTTTTATGAAATAATCTACAATGATGTCTTACGTATATGTCTTTTTACAAATATTTTGGAAATTATCACAATTTTCTACATAAAAATCCATCTACTTACATAACTCGATTTTGAAAACAAAAGGACCGAAAATTGATAGCATTTTTAATTAATAAAACATCTAATAAAATGTGATATAATATTTTGAAGCTATTTCTTATTAAATTCTAAAAAAAATGTTATATTTTGTCGCACATCAAAAACTATGTACAAATAAAATAAAATATAATAGTTTGTAAGTAAGTTCAAACAAAACAAAACAAAAAAGTTCGTAAGTAAACAGATCCAATAAATACAAAACCATAATTTTCGGATTTCACATAAAAGAAAAGTCAAATTTTAACCCCCAACGTAGAAAAAAGAGATCGAACCCTCAAGCTCAAGGCCACAACTATTAGAAAAATGGGTTGAGGACGAAACCATAAAACCACAAAATTAAGTAACTATTAAGCATATTTGTTGGATTCAAAATCATGTAGTTATAGTTGCATCCTTTGACGTTTCTAACTTTCTCTCCAACATCCCCACGCAAACTCCGTTGACGCTCTCACACGATTTCTCATATTACCACATTTATTACTACTATACGGCACGCCTAAACTACATAAGATATATTAAATATTAAAAATTGGAGGAAATTTTATTTAATAGTGTAAGAAAAACAAAAAATCGGAGCCGCAATATAACTTACGAAACCCTTATTTGCTATTTCTCAATTTAGAATTCACCAAAAAAATATTTCTCAATTTAGACCATTGATGACTAAGTCGCAAGTGGGGTGCGTATGCCTGCTTTTTCTTTTTGCTTGTGGGAATCTCTCATCTATATATTTTTCCCTAAATTTCATTCTTTTCTTACTGTAAAAATAGATAAAGGTAAACAATATAGGAGGGTAAGCAATATATTTTTACTTCTATCATCTTTTTGAGATTCAATATTTTCAGTTTTTCAAATTTAACCCCAAATTACCTATTTTACAGAATCATTTGAGTAAAACGCAAATGGTTGACGATTAGATAATTAGGTTGAGTCTCTGAGACTCAATCACTAGAGACTTTTTTATTCTCTGTGTAATATATATTAGAAAATGTTTTTAAATCAATCATTCGAATAGATTTAGATGACTATTTTGAGAATAAAATAGGTCGTTGAATATATTGGAGGGTATTTTTGTCATTTAGGAAAGGGACCATTCATTGAATGTGATTAGAAAATTTGAGACAAAGAAGATTTGGGAAATCGGGGAGAGAAGGAGAGATCGTATATAGAGATGGTTTGGTTGCATTGCATTTTGTGTCTCACTGAGACTTTAATCCGACGTGTGAGGCTGTCGTTTTGGAAGCATGTAGGACCCTTCCCTCTTTTATTCCCTTCATCCACTTCTGTCATATATTAACCATAATGCCCCTCATCATGCAACAATGTAAAGAAACACATATGTAAGTAAATATTAGTATCGGGTTTGATCGATGATTTTTTACTGCAGCAGTAATTAGTATACTCTTTAAACTGATATCAATCAAATGAGTAGAAGTGATAGTAAGATATTCTACGTTTTGCCCTAAAATCTATTATAAATACTTTGTTGGATCTCAGCATCAACAACGTATAAATATTGGACAGACTGTTTGTAATTAAAAAGTTTATATCCATCGTAATTACTACTGTAAAATTAGAACTAACTTTTGATAGTATTGTTTCAGATGAAAATATCAGGTCTAAAACTAAAATAAGGAGATTAATTATATCGTAAAATAAACCAAGAACAACATCATGTAGAGGTAAAATGATATATACACCTTATTCTTGTGAATCTCATTATCATATTGGAACGTAGAAAACGACGTGTAGTACAAGACTATAAATGTTATAGTATTCAAGTAAAACTAAAAGAGTGGAAGTTATCGTTTTATTTAATAACAGCAGCGACGAAGATATCCTTAATAACCTTGATATACTATTTAAATGTAAATATGTTTTTGTTAATCCTTGGTTTCAATATAGAGGTAACTTGTAGTGTCGATATATAGTGAATATTATTATACCGACAATAACGTCACGCCTTTTGTTATTTTAAAGATAACATATATTTGGACGAAATCGATCATTTATTTATTTTTATTTTTTAGTAATAAAGAAAATTTCATGTGATCTATACAAACAGGAAGGTTGACAACGGGATTGGAGGAACTTACAGCACACTGTCATCTTCACGGACCCCTTGACATTGATTTTATTGTATTTTATCTTTTATTTACATGAATTAGTTTTAATAATTAAACTGCATAATTTACATATATATATATAAGTTATTTTGGTTGCCGGTTCTTGATTTCTATCTCATATACTATGTACATATATATTATATATGGATATTGTTGTCTCACTGGTCTGTGTGTATGCAGAGAGCATGGTCCATACACAATTAATTATCAAGTTGGTGATTGAATTTATATACATAAGATAAATTTTGTTCTTTCAATTGTATGGAAATCATTGACTTGCTTGGGATATATCAGATGGGTTATCAAATTACTCAGAGTTCCATAATTTCTTCTTTTTGTGGTGGTTTGAGTTGTCAATATTATTAATTAATAAGATTGATAAGTCTATACCTTAGCCAAGGGGCATATGCATTAATAGTATTCAATTATATAAAGTAAAACTCTTTTAAGACTATAAAATATACTGATAAATTTTAAACATTGATAAAATAAGCTCACCCACTCCATAAAATGGAATAACGAAACCAAGTGATTCATAATCATTTGCTATCTTTTTATATAAATAATAATTATTCAAAAAAAAACATATAATTGTATTCGATAGATGGATTATATATAAGGAAAAGGAAAGATAGTTGCGTTACTTAGTGAAGAACACTAACCACAAATTCCAATCCCCACAACACGAGGGGAAAGCACTTAGAGGGATAATGGAGCAGATATATCATATGATATATTGCGTGCCCATTGGCCATTTCACATGATTTACTCTCCTTATCCGTCCTTATAACTGTATATATGCATTGTTTTCTACAATGTAACGTATTGAATACTTGAACATTGTAGTAGAAAACATTGTCGTGGTTCGAGAAGCCTTGTCAAAACCAGAGACATACAATTCTTTTTTCCCTCTCCCTCATATAATAAGCACGAGACGAATCCCCAAATTCATGCTTCTCTCTCATTTTCACATATTACTGACATATATTCATCAAAAGAAAAAATCCTAAAATCCTAAATATTTGTGGAGATAGTTTCAAATATGGTATCTCAAAGGGTATATATGTAAAAATAGACGAAGAGGGCGAGCTCCGGCTGTCAGCATGACGTAGGCTGACTTCAGCAACACCGCTTTAGCCGCGACCGTCCCGAATGGACCCAACTTTTTTCACTTATAAAACTCCTCCGGCTCTCACAAACCTCAATTAATGTAAATGACCATAATGTCCTTGGATCTATTAAATAGCAAAAGGAAAATGATCTTAATCTAAACTAATACTGCTTGAAAGCAAGCAAATTGGATGGACGACTTAGCTTAGGTTGGCTAATGTTTGTAGTGAACATAAATATTATTTTAACCTCCACGTTATTTTTGTTTGAGTGTATGATTAAGCCATAATTTCTTTCTTTAAACAAACTAAAAAAAAACGGAGTTGTTTAATAAAGTAGTCCTTTTCATTTGTATAGACAATTATTATGGTAAAAAAAATGTTTTAAGAGTTTACACTTTACATATCAAAAAAGAACAAAAGAAGAGGAGGTAGATACCGACTAAAAATAATAATTGAGAGACATAATCAAAAATATAAGTAATGAATGAATATTAAAAAAAGAAAAGAAAAGATAGATTTATGAAAATGGCGTCAAAAGAAGAGGAAGGAGATTGAGTATGGTTTACGCCAAAACAATACTAATAAATAATATTAAAGAAAAGGAGTTGTTCGTATCGTCTTCTACCTTATAAAACCCCACACCTTCCTTGTTTCCCTCTTCCTACACCGCACTCTCTTCTTCTTCTTCTTCCTTCTTCTCTGTTTTTCTCTCTCCTTGTGTTTGGAACCATGGATAATGTTAAACTTGTTAAGAATGGTGTCTTGAGATTGCCACCTGGATTCAGATTTCATCCTACTGATGAAGAACTTGTTGTTCAATACCTTAAGAGGAAAGTTTGTTCTTCTCCTTTGCCAGCTTCAATCATCCCTGAGTTTGATGTTTGCAGAGCTGATCCTTGGGATTTACCTGGTAAGCCCTTATGATTCTTGCTATAATTAGTAAGTTTTCAATTTCGACTCTCTGACCTTTAGGCTCATAAGATTCTCTATGTTTTTCAGGCAATTTGGAGAAGGAGAGGTACTTCTTTAGCACAAGGGAAGCTAAGTACCCAAATGGGAACCGGTCTAACCGGGCAACTGGGTCTGGTTATTGGAAAGCTACCGGTATTGATAAACGGGTTGTGACCTCTAGAGGAAATCAAATCGTTGGTTTGAAGAAAACTCTTGTGTTCTACAAGGGAAAACCACCTCATGGCTCAAGAACCGATTGGATCATGCACGAATATCGCCTCTCTTCTTCTCCTCCGGTACATATTCCCACTCTCTCAATTTCCGGTTTAAGTTCCGGTTTAATCTCCTCCACTAAATTAGATTCTAATTTTTGTAGAGTTCTATGGGTCCCACTCAGAACTGGGTTCTCTGTCGTATCTTCTTGAAGAAAAGAGCCGGAAACAAGAACGACGACGACGACGGAGATAGCCGGAATCTTAGACATAATAATAATAATTCGAGTGACCAAATTGATATAATTACAACAAACCAAACAGATGATAAAACAAAACCAATCTTCTTCGATTTCATGAGAAAAGAAAGGACTACAGATTTGAACCTTTTGCCTAGCTCCCCTTCTTCCGATCATGCTTCAAGTGGAGTCACGACGGAGATCTTCTCTTCTTCCGATGAAGAGACCAGTAGTTGCAATAGTTTCAGAAGAAATCTTTAATTTAATTTTAATGTTGACTATCTTAATAAGTTATAATAATTTTATATTAATACGACTCTCTTTCCTTTATTCCATTTTTTTTACTTGAAAACGAATCTTTGCCCTCTCTTTCGTTTCGGTTTTTATATGATTTCGTGAAACTTGGTTGGAGTTTTATCTGAGTAAATTAACCACCCGTTTCAAGAAAATGTATTTAACTTTATTCTCTAGCAAAATTTTAGTTCTTCTCCCAACGGTCCACTTATTGCAATAAATATATGTTTATGAGTCATTGTACAAATTTAGAGTATAAACTTTATATGGAGATGCTACCACAAACGGAAAATATAAATTTTGGAAAAAAGAAAAAGATAAAGAAGATGTAGCTTGTTTTTACACGTTCGTTTGGGTTTCTCTCCATGACATGATGACAATCCCATGCCGGAATTATTAAAGAGTATTTAAACTTAAAAATGATAGTAATAAATTAATAATCTTGTTATTATTAATAAAAAGGTATGTATTATTGTTTAAAGAGGAAATTATTTCCTCTTTGCACGTGACTGTGATGTTATTAAAAGGGTGATTTAGGTGAATAACCCAAAAAAAAAGAAAAATTAGTTTTTTAGAAAGAAGGTAGAGAGAGATAGGAAGAGAAAGAGAGTGAATAGGGGGGTTAGAGGTTAGATATTTAATTTTGTTTTTTTTTAGGTTATCTAGTGCAATTTCTCTTATTAAAATGTGTACATAATACTTACTCTTTGTTTGTTTTTTTTTTCTTTAGCTGTATTTTTGTAGTTGTGTGTATATGATTACAATTATGCATGGAGGATTACAACTAAAAAGGGTAATAATGGCACGGAGAGGCTGTCAAAGAGAGCTTTTTGTCAAAAGTGCACAAAACGTAATAAGAGTGTGATGAGTAGTTTATCTCTTTTAATGTCAAAAAGGTCATAATTATTCGGTGGAAATAACACAATTATAAATTTACACATTTCAAACACAAAATCTTAAGAAAAAAAACCAAAAAAGCTATTTTGGAAAGAGAGAGGGAAAATAGGAATGGTGAGCAGCATCACGGCTCTATCTTTCAAGGATATGTATTTGTCCAAAAGAAAAAATGGAATTAATCTTTTAACAAATAATTAATGGAGATCGAAGTGCTATTTCGGAAAATTAAACAACCGAAAATAGTAATATCCTACCTGCATTCCCTCTTTTTAGTGTGTCCTTATTGACGAACCAATAATTTTCCTACTAATAGATTGCAGAAGAAATACTCTCAAAAGAATTGTAGCAGAGATACTCTCAAAAGATGTTTGCTTGCACATGTAATTCAAGAGGAATTGGTGTAAAAATTTACCTTTTAATAGTTTAATTTTCTCTAAGAACAATATTTCTTGATAATTTTCATTAGTGAAAAAAAAAAACTCGCACATTGGATAATTTTTGAATATATCTTTTCAACAAATGGAAAAATAATCCATGTCGTCATAGGATTCTAACATGGAAGGACTACAAGGAAAATTTATACAAGAATCGATTCAAATAAAAAAGTAGATGGAAAGATATAACTTATTTATGAGCAAAAAGAAGAAACAAGCATAAGAGCTTGAAAGAATCACAAATAAGAACCAAATTCCGCAAGGATAATATATTCCAAGAGGATCAAATCTCTCTCTCTCTCTCTCTATCTTAAGATTCCATTCCAATCTTCAAACCTACTCCAATTATTAAAAAAAAAACATTCTATGAGAATTACTGAATTCTGTTTTAACAGCATCTGTTACTGTTGTCTCCATCGAATTACTATGCCTTACGCAACTGAATTGAAAAGTTAGGTAACGGTCTGATGAGTGTTCGACCTAGTGAGACACTAAACCTACCGAAGAAAAATTTCGCATTAAATATTCGAATTAATTAAGACAACTTCGTTAAAGTAAGATAATATTATTAACTCTTAGTTTCATCAACATCTGTATAACCTTCGAAAGCCTAACCTCTATATATTGGCATTTTCCACAAAACAATTCTTATGTGATAATTTGACACAAAATAATATTCTTCTATATTACCTCATGTAACTATAGACCGATATTATTTTCTATAGATAAAAAAGAGTCGGTATAGCTAGGCATTTGATTTATGTTGAATAACTAAGTTAGCTGAAGTAAATTAAAAGAATAAATATCCTATATTTGCTTTCTTTCTAGTTCATATATATACATATTCGATATTAGTGGTGGTAGAGGCATATAGTTGCGATTTCTTGTACTTGCAAGCAATCCCAATCAACTTAGTGATTATCGATTGAGTGAAATTAAGTAACAACTTTATTAGCATCTTTTAATATTTTTAAGGATTGTTTTCATGTTCCGTATGGCACAAGGAAAGATAAAGAATATTTTTCCCGACCCAAAGAGAGAAATTTCCATTTGGATTCTTCGTACGGCATTATTGCTATTAGTCATTAGATATAGTGGATAGTGGATTTGTTCAAATGTTTTGTTCTGTTTTCCCCACAAGTTACTCTTTGACTCGGATTATATAGGGATAAAAGATATTAAATTGGTACCGGTGTAGCACAAATTTTTGTATAGAACATTTTGAACTATAATCTAATACTCTATCAAGTATCAACCATAACAAATATGATACTACAATCAAATAAAAGAGAATAATCATGAATGGCGTATACATTCATGTGATTTAAAATACATTTATTTAATTTGATTTTAAACCAAATACATATTAATTTTCTAATTGGTAACGACACAGTACAGTACACTAGTGAAGAACTAATTATAATTTTTCTTAAAAATTATATTGGAACAACATCGAATTAAACATGATGTTAATAAATTACTTAGCAAAACATAAAAGTGGGATGTTCTATTATTTCCAGAAATAAAATACCATTCTCTATTGTTATGAAAAGATAAAGGACTTTAGAAAAGAAAAAGAAAAACAGAAGATAAATGACTTGTTTTTGGAACCAAGAAAAAATAGGAAAAAATCTGATAGATCAACAGTGACTTTTTTTGGTTAAGTTACTTGTCTTAATTCCAAACTTATACAAACATTCACTTAAAACTTAATAATTTTAAATTTTGTGGTTATTCAACCTATTTCATTATTTAATTAAATTATTTGAAAATTAAAAAAAAATGGTTGATGATTTGACACACAAGACGATGAGAACTTATTTTGCTTATAAATAAATATGTATATATATGATTAGAGATAAGTGGTACGATAAAGAGTGATATACAATACGATAGTAGTCCGATAATGAGATTTGACTTTTATCTCTACTTTCCCCTAGTTCACAGTCACAATGACGATCGTGGTTGTGACATATCGATGTGTATATATGTGTACAATAGGCAAAGTGCATCTCAAAATAACCTTTTTTTTTTTTTTGCAATTTCAGTAATAATATTCAAAACAAAAGAAATATACACATCATGAAAAAATGATTAAAGAAAAGAGGAGAAAATAAAGAAGGAAGAGAAGGTGGAAAGAGTCGTATAATGCTGACTTGTGTTTCGTGAGATTCAAATTTTGTATAAAATTCCAAGTGGGCTGCGACTTGGAAGACGTGGGAGACCCACACACTTTCACAAATCTTCCATTACCCACACGCCTTTTTCTTACTTATATTGCATGGTTATGTGTCACTTCCACCAACCACATTCAATATGTATGTATATTCATCTTAGATTTATTAAACCCTTGTCTTAATGTTAGACTAAATAAAACTAATAAAGGAACTCTAGCTAGCTAGTAGTTGTAAGAGAAAATATAATTTGTCCATTAACTCGACTCGTTTAACCCAAGTGCGATTGGCTATGAACTAGTTAGAGGAGTGCTTTTATAGAGCTACCAGACCGAGTTGGCGAGTTCGAGTCTGAGGTAAACTGATATGAAACTATAGGGGAAAGGTCCAGAATTTTCTGATCAAAAAAAGAAAAAAAGAAAAAACATGTCAATATAAGACAATAAGTGAATGTGGTTATACTCAAATGCTAAATGCATACACAAACGTAAACATTAGTATATACACGCTGAAAGCGCTAAATGTAAGCATGCATGTTACTGATGATTTGAAATATATAAAAACCTGTGAGGTTTATCCAAACTGTAAAATAAATATGGTTGAATCCGAAATCAGTGAAATGTTTTTAAATAACGAGAATTTTTTTAAACTCTTCACTAAAAAGTAGGGAAAACTTTGTCAACTCAATTCAATAAGACTTGATCCAACCGATCCAAATCCAAACTTGATATAAAAGCTAATGAATATATTGACCCAAACCACTAGTGTAAAATGAGATTTAATACTAAGAACATTTTCACAAGAAACACTAAAGTGCATCATCATTTATCAAAATAGCTATATATATCTCCTGAAATCCAATCCTTTTCTTTTTCTCTCCCAACCACCACACCATAATTAAACTACATAAAACAAGAATGAACCTAGTTGGGTAAGCAAACTCAAATAAACCCAAATTGCAAGAGAATCTATTTATAATTTATTCGTCAATATAGTTTTATTTGGGTTTAGAGTCAGAATCTCTTTATGGCTCTTGCCCGTTCCCATAAGTCCTATTACAAAGCACTTAAAGAAGAGGGTGACGTCAGTCCCCAAAGACATGTTGCCTAGACTCTAAGCAAAAACTTGAGACGTGACTCTTCCCTTATTCATTTCTTGATGACAACACAAACCTAAACCCCTTAATTACTTAATTAAGACCCCAAGTGTCTATTTTGATCACCAGTCGGATACAAAACGTTAAGAAGAAAACTTTGAAGTTGGTAATTCAACGAGTTAAATATATTGTGGGAGGTAGGCCAAGTTAAATCATAAACCAATCAATCAAAAAGAGAACAAAATTACATGCTTTGATCTTCAGTCCAAAACATTTTTGTCCGTAAGATTCGGAATCTCTTGGTTAGTAAAATATAGATAAAAACACGCGAAAAAGATAGTGTTTGATATTTTGTGTAGAGGTTGCGTGCGAAGAAGCAAAACCCCTTGTGAGGGAGTGACTTGAGGATCAGCTTCAGCTTTCTGAGACATAATGACAAATAACAAATGGGTTTGATATAGGAGCAGTTTTACTTACATCACATGTTTAGCTTTCCTCTTGTGGTCCTCTTTTTTTTTCCTCCAATCTCTAAGCAAAATCCTACACATCTCTTGAAAATTTTGTAAAACCATGGACCCCATTAAAGATTCAGTTGTATCTTCCTTAATTGACTCTTTTTTGAGGCATGATTAGACTTTTATAGCGAAGAACTTATCACAAAACTTCATCAAAGCCTTAAAATTCTTGCTATAGATAGACATCTAAAAAAATGGTCCCAAGGAACCTAACAAAGCCACTTCACACGCTGAAGAGGCAACTCTCACTGTTACCAGATTCCAACAAAACGGAAGAGGCTTTTGTGATTACAAGCAATTTGAACATTTAAACCAACAGACAAGGCATATGCTTGGTGACAACTACAGTTGCACACCTGTACTGCACTAAAAATTATCTGCCTTTTTACCTTTGCACGCAACTCCCTATTCATCAATCTATCAAACTCCAAAAAAGAAAAAATCAAACTTCTTCAAGTTGCTGAGGGATTATTTACATGACTTGATGTTACCCTTAATCAAAGACTCACAGGAGAAGTGTAAGACCCTGCAGACAGAACAGAGTCAAATTTATGATTCTTCAAAATTTAGCAACAAAACATTCTGTGTTGCTAGATAAAAATTAATCTAAGAAAACTGTAAACGAATATGGTTTAATTAGTAATATATATTTGAATTTATAAACTCCAGAGATACTAAAACCTACAAACTTAATACTGATTTTAATATCTTTGCACATACATTAGAAGCCAAGATTGAAGTTGCCCACAAAATTCAGTATGTGAGAGGCCCAAGGAGGGAATGCGATGATCTTAAAGTGCTAGTTTCACATAGAGTCATGGCAAAGAGGGCTTAGGGACTTGTGACTTGAGATAGTTGTAACTTGTAAGAGCATCTCCAATGGATGTATTTTAGGGTTCTCATCTAAGTTTCTCTTGAAAAAAATGCTGAAAAATAAATCAAAACTCTGAATTTTTGAGAGAAACAGCTCTCTTGAGAGAAACTTTGAGTAGGAAGAGAGACGATGACGTGGCTTAATCTCAGCCGTCGATTGTTTTGATCAAAAAAAAAAAAATTCGCGTCAAAAAAAAATTAAAGAAGCCAAAGACTTGTCATTTCCCCGACTCTCGTTCTCCTGTTTCTCTCTCTTTCTTTGTGAAACCAAACACTTTTCTCAAGCCGCCGGCGACGATTGAGGTCACGATTGAGGCCGCCGGCAACGATTGAGGGAAGAATAGAGAGGCCGCCGGCGACGATTAGGCCGGATTCTTCATTTGCCCCACCGCATGTCACGATCGGGAGTGAGAGAGATATGCAAATCGGATATCCAAATTCAACGGATGGAGGTGGAGGTGGATGTGGAATCTATGGAGTTGACGGAGGAGGAGAGGGAGAAGAAGGTGAGAAAGGAGAAGGCTTTGAAGGAGATCTATGGTAATTTTGGTTTTGGTGTCTCCATTGCTTAAGGTTATTTAAAGAAGTTCTTCTCTTTTCTGGAAATTTCGGGATCTTTTGTGTTGTTTAGTATAGTTTGCGTCTGAAATTGTTGTAATTTGAATCTCATTTGGTTTCCAAGAGCTGATTTTGCCATTGACGTGAGCTTTTGGTAGCTGCACATAACGTGTTTGTTGAAATGCCTAAATGAGGCAATCACTCATAGACGAAGTTAGGAGAAATACATTGAATGTTTGTTATTGCTGAAGAAGACAGTGACATCGATGATTCTGCCTGATTCGATAGAGAAATACATTGAACTTAAACTTTATGAAAAACAATGAATGTTTGGATACAAGAACTAAAAACTCTTATCTGTGATGATTAGTTCAGGGAATGTAATTATGTAATAGAAAGTAAAGCAATAGAGTAGTGTGTGTGCTTTGTCTCATCCTTTACCATGTCTTTTGATCCTAGCTTGTGTTTCTGCTGTGTATTGATTTGTGACCTCAATTCAACACTATCGAAAGAGTGAGATTCAAGATGGAACAACTAGATTGGAGTAGTGGTGGTGATACGAGATTTGAGCAAGCATCATCATGTTCAGCTTTAATATGTTGTTGTTGTTATTTGGATATTTGTTCACTCTTTTATTGAGTTTCTTGAATGTGTTTGAGCAAGCATCATCACTGGCAAGGTTCCATTTTGCTGAAACCCTCTCGCGCTGCTTCATTGATTCATTCAATCTCTATATTGTCTATGCTATGAAATTTGAACGTGCTTTATTTTGAATGTGTTTTTGATGTAGAAGACACCAAATCTGTCTTGTATAGGCTAAGTAGGAGACAAGACACTCAAATCAAAATATGTGTAGATCATGAATCTTTCATTTGCATTTGACAAGTTTTTGATGTGATTATGAACTATTGAAACACCAATTACACCAAACACCAATGACTCCAATTATTTTTTCCTAATTCATCAAATTACATCAAAACCAAACATCAAATTACATCAAAATCAAAATATTTTCAAAAAAAAAATTTTCTAAGAACCCACTAGAGAAACTACCATTGGACTAAGAAAATTAAAAAAAGAAAAACACAAGTTCTCATCTAAAAATTTCAAAAAAAATATGTTTAAACAATTGGTGAGAGCCCATGGGGGACTCTCACCATTGGAGATGCTCTAAGGCTGCTATATCTGCCTAAACTGATTGTAGGTTTGTTATGATCAACCTGTAGCATGTGGACCAGCACCGTCCTGCATAGGACGAGCCCATCTGCTGATCAGTTTTTTTTTTTTTCATTTTGCAAATTCAAGAACCAGTCTGGCCCTCTTTTAAACACACTGAACCCGTCATTTTCCTATGTAGTTTCTAGATTAACCATGCACTGGTCCCATGGTTCATATACCAAAAACCAGAGTAGATCTTGAACACTTAAACCAGAGAACCAGGTTCAAACTGGTCGGTGGTTAGGACTGGCCCATCACACCATCCCTACCTGTGGAATTTTAAAAGATGAAGCGAATCTCTCTACATGAAGATAAGAGTCTTGTTGAGTCATAGCCAAGAAGGCACAAGTGTCAAGACAATAGAGGGTTCATTCATGAATCAGTGAAACGATACAGAAGAATATATCTTCCATTTCTCACACATTCTATAGGGTTATTCTGGATTTTAGATTTTTTCCAGTACATGCAACAGAACGACTCAACTTCACAAGCAATATTAATCACAAGAAAAAAGAAGACATCTTATCATGCTGGGAGTGCGAAACTAGGTTGCTTCCACTGTGGCGGATCCATCACCAGGCAGGGATCTGATTTCTCAAAGTCAGCAACCTGTAAACAAATCAATCATATGAATCTTCAATAGAGAGAAAAAAACAAATCACATTGCATGCAAGAAGAAGACATATCAAAGCACCTTGTTCCCACACTGAGGACAATGGTGCTGTTTGTTCCAGAGGCAATCCATTGAAGGGCAGAGAAAGCAGAATCCAAGCATAAACGGCATCATGCAAGCAACAACAGCAGCTACACCAGGTTTCGATCTGTTTCACATCCAAATATTAAAATATATATATCACAAACAAAGAAAACGTAAACCACAGGTTGTCACAATGAATATTAGCACATAAAAGCAAAGGTTGTGTCAATGCTCCAGAAGAATGAAAAATGTAGGCCCTAAACACGAATGCCGAGAAGCGAAAAACGTAACGCAGTTTAACTTCATAAAATCAATCACCGCCGGTATCAAAACAAAAGAGATCCTGAAATCAAGCACCATCTAAATAACTCCGCTACTAATTAAGGGAAAAATGTTGTTATCAACAGAAGAGTCACAAAGCAGTAGCTTTATCTTTTCAGCTTAAGCATATTTTTTGAGAGAAATTAACAAAACTGGCTTGATCAATGAGTTCTTTCCGCCTTCCTTGATTTAAGTTTTGTAAAAGTTTGTTCATATAGAATCTCACATTTCATATGCAAAAATTGATCAAACATTGCTAATGAAACACGCAATCCAGATTAACAAGTTTGTGAATCCTGAAGCAATCGATCAAACAAAACCTAAATTCTTCATCTCATACTCAAAAACCACTGGCAATCATTAGAGGCGCTAATTTTTCTACTAAGTATGCGATCAATTGAAATGGATCCCAAATTGCCGATTGCAAATTCACTCAATGATCACATACAAGATGATTTATTATAATCGAGTCGTAGAAGAACAATAAACCCTAAAATCGTATAGGTGAAAACCTGAGGTTGGTGAGACCAGTGTTGCCGCAATAAAGGCAATTGAAAGGAGCAGGTGTGTCTCGATAAATCGTTTGCTGAATCGGAGCACCCAACGGATCACCATAGATAGCATTCGGCGGCACAATTCCGGCCTGATACGGATTCTGTCCCGCGTAATACGGAACTCCGATCACCGTTGTTCCCTCTTTCGCCATCTCCTTTATTTCTACGGTCAACGATTTAAGATGAAGCAAAATCACAGCGAACAAGTATTTTAGAAAATGATGAAGCTGATTTTAAAGAGTCTTTATTTATTTCCCTTTCCGATATGAAATTTTCCAGACGCGGAAGAAGACTGAGTTTCAGGGAAATTTCCAAATCTCTGACGATTACACGCGTCTAGAAGATAGAGAATTAGACACTCTACACTTAATGGGCCTTCTGTGTAAGAACTTAATACAGTTATTGGGCTCAAAAGGCCTATTAATTGTCTAAATAAGCGATCCACTACAAAAGAAGAACGTGTTTAGGCCTTCTTTGCCGACATAAACTGTAATTACAAGAAGATTCACCAAAATGTTGTAATCATTGAATGACACAGAGACCTTTCTAAAATCTTGTACTTTCAAGAACAATTCTTGAACTATATCGGTGTTCTTTTCTTATTGGTTAAGGATTAAACAAAGTGTCAAAATCCAGCTTAAAATAGTCCAACTCTTAATCCCAAAGGTAATCAAAACCGCGTTTTATTATTGTATAATCCAATCTTATAAATTAAAATCAAAGTTAAACACAATCCATCAAATCCATTTCAATAGAAGAAGAAGAACGTTCTAGAATCATCAACCAATTCAGAAAATTTCAGCCATGACAGGATCGCAAGGAGAAGAGACTAATCAACCTAAGATCGTTGATCAAGAACAACCCAAAACTGTAGAAACAGAGCATCAACCACAGCCAGGACCACAGCCACAACCAGAACCTTCTTCATCGTCTCCGGATCAGAAGAAATGGGGTACTCACGTGATGGGAGCTCCGGCAGCTCCCGTGGCTCATCCCGATAACCAACAGGCGGCGGCGTGGGTCGCCGGAGATAACCAGCAAACACCGTACGTCATCTACTCTCCTGTCGAACATCATCATCCTAGTAACAATCCTCTCGAACCCGTCATCGGAATGTTCCATACCTGGAGTCGCAAGGCTGAAACTGTCGCACGTAACCTCTGGCACAATCGTAAGTCTCCTTCTACTTAATTGAAGCATTTGGACGCAGTAATTGTGATGAATATTCATGAATTTTGTGGATTTCTTCTTAATTTGAGTATTTGGACCAAGCAAGTTTGAGTCTTTGACGGATTTTGTGGGTTTTGTTTCTGCAGTGAAAACAGGGCCGTCTATGTCGGAAACAGCGTGGGGAAAGGTTAATCTGACGGCGAAAGCGATAACAAAAGGAGGATTCGAGTCGCTTTTCATACAGATTTTCGGAACAGAGCCAAACGAGAAGCTGAAGAAAACTTTCGCATGTTATCTCTCAACTACGACAGGTCCAGTTGCTGGAACTCTGTATCTTTCGAATGCTCGCGTCGCGTTTTGTAGCGATCGTCCTCTATACTTCACAGCACCTTCTGGTCAAGAATCTTGGAGCTACTACAGGGTAAAGTCTTGTTTTTTGTAAAAAATAGTGAATTTGGAGACTGTGGGATAAAGTTTTTGAGGATAATGTTGTTTGATGGGTTTGTGGCAGGTGGTGATACCTTTGGGAAATGTTGCGACGGTAAATCCGGTGGTGGTGAAAGAGACTCCGCCGGAGAAGTATATTCAGGTGACGACGGTGGATGGTCATGACTTCTGGTTCATGGGTTTTGTGAATTATGAGAAGGCTACGCATCATCTGCTTACCAGTGTCTCCGATTCTCAAACCGCACACGGCTCAGTCTCGGATTCTCAAACCGCACACGGCTCTGTGTCTGTTTAAAGCATATTCCTTAATGTTTTGTACTTTGGTTTTCTTTAGTTGTGTGGTTGGTTTCTGCTGCTCATGTTTCTCTATGTTTATGTAAATTATGTATCAGAGCTGGACTTTTGTGAGTCTCAGAATCTCAATTTGTGTGTTGATCAGAGTTGGTTTCACTGATTTATTGATTTCGTCTGCAGTACTAGTTTCTAATGGTTATTGCGGACTTTTGAGCCGAATTCTATACATTTCCGTGTTAGAGCTGTAATTGTTTACCCCAAGCCACAATCAAACTATGAGTTTTAACAATCTTCAGAAGATCACAGAAAATGCCACTAGACGGTCTAGACCAAACTCACTTAATCTTTTGCAACACTTATTCCTTCTACCCTAGTATCCACTAGACCAAACTCACATGTAAGCTAGTAATTTCTGCGATCTCGTCAGTCGTCACAGCTAGCATGGCAGGCAATAACCATCCATATCTTACATAATGACTTTTTTTTTATTTCTGTAAATCTATTTGTTTCGTACTGTACTTTCCACGTTGTTTACTGTTTGAATCCTTAAAATACTCAAAACTAGTACTACATAATTCGAACTCCTCGATCGTCAGATTCTAGAAAATAGTGCAAATATTTTAGTGATGAGATGACAAGTGGTGGACTGAATCATAGAGATTATTTCATAAATCAATGAGACTTTTATAAATTGTTGATTCCTTCGCCGCCTCAACGGAAAAAACGGATCTTTGGCCAATTAATTTTGACTATTAGTATAATACAACATATAAAGTCAAAAGTCTTTCCAAACAACGTGATCCCCAAGTCAGTGAATTGCATAAAGACCAACCAACCTCGAAACATATACTTATAAGGATATATTTGATCTTTTTGTAAACAGAAGTTATCCTTATCAGTTTGTAACAATTTTCGGAAGCCCTAGCTAAGTTAGTCGGCTTATTCACATGTATATTAGGTGCAGCCTCTAGCCTCCTTAATTCAATAACACAATCTCCTAAATCTCACTTCTAATTTCTAAACAAAAACCATGTCTCCTTCTCCGTTGCTTGGTCCACCAGAGCTCAGAGATCCCAACTCTCTCCTCCCAAAACCCATCACAACTTCCGGTCCCAGCAACCCTTTCATGGACGCTATGGTCTCAAACTTCAACAACTCAACTAGAGTCAACTCCATCTCTTCTCCTCCGATGGGCTACACCGAGAATAATTCCGCCACACACCTCTCCTCAGGCAACCCCTGCCTCGACTTCTTCTTCCACGTTGTTCCAAGCACGCCTAAAGACTCTCTGGAGCAAAGGTTACAGGGAGCTTGGGACCATGACGCCTTGACCACCCTCAAACTTATCTGTAACCTTCGTGGAGTCCGTGGCACCGGAAAATCCGACAAGGAAGGGTTTTACACGGCGGCTTTATGGCTCCATGGTCGTCATCCCAAAACTCTAGCTTGTAACCTCGAGTCCCTCTCTCAATTTGGATACTTTAAAGATTTCCCAGAGATTCTTTACCGGATTCTACAAGGATCTGAAATCAGGAAGATCCAGAAATCAGAAAGGTTCAAGAGGAAAACTGAAGCAACTCGAGGTAGAAGAGCTCCTTTCAATCACAATCACTCGGGTGTCTCATATGGTGGTCGTGGTGGTCGTGGACGTGGATCCGGTCGCCGCGGTGGTAAAAGGAAGCCAGTGGCCACAAGGGAGCTCAGAGTAGCCAACGCAGAGAGGAAGAACCAAGCGGAGAAAGCCAGAGCAAGCTTGGATCGGAAGAAAAAGAAAGTTTCAATGGGGAAGGACGCGTTTACAAGATATTCTCACGATCCAGACTATCGGTATCTCCACGAACGCGTCTCTGATCTATTCGCAAATCAACTAAAGAGAGATCTTGAGTTTTTGACATCCGACCAAACAAACAAAATCTCTCTTGCTGCTAAATGGTGTCCATCGCTTGATTCTTCGTTTGACAAAGCAACTCTTCTCTGCGAGAGCATTGCTAGGAAGATCTTTCCTCGAGAATCATTCCCTGAATACGAAGGCGTTGACGAAGCTCACTATGCGTACAGAGTTCGTGATCGTCTAAGGAAACAAGTTCTTGTTCCTCTGCGGAAAACTCTGCAACTACCTGAAGTATACATGGGAGCGAGAAACTGGGATACTCTTCCGTACAACCGTGTAGCATCAGTGGCAATGAAGACGTACAAGGATATATTCATGAATCACGACGCAGAGAGGTTTCAGCAATACCTTGACGATGCAAAGACGGGGAAAACCAAGGTAGCTGCTGGTGCTGTGTTACCTCACGAGATAATCAGAGATTTAGACGGTGGAGACGGTGGACAAGTAGCTGAGCTGCAATGGAAACGAACGGTGGATGATCTGAAAGAGAAAGGTTCTTTGAGGAATTGTATAGCTATATGTGACGTTTCAGGGTCTATGGATGGTGATCCAATGGAGGTTTCAGTCGCTTTGGGTCTGCTAGTCTCTGAGTTATCTGAAGAGCCATGGAGAGGTAAGCTTATAACTTTCAGCGGAAACCCGGAGATGCATTTGGTGGAAGGAGACGACTTGAGATCAAAATCAGAGTTTGTGAGGAATATGCAATGGGGAATGAACACTGATTTTCAGAAAGTGTTTGACTTGATTCTGAGAGTTGCGGTAGAAGGGAATCTGAAACCGGAAGAGATGATCAAGAGGGTGTTTGTGTTCAGTGACATGGAGTTTGATCAAGCGTCGTCTTCGTCTTCGAGCCATGCATATGGAAGGCAGTCTAGGAGTAATGGATGGGAAACTGATTATGATGTAATTGTGAGGAAGTATAGACAGAATGGCTATGGAGAAGTTGTGCCGGATATAGTGTTTTGGAACTTGAGGGATTCGAGAGCAACGCCGGTGCCGGGAAACAAGAAAGGAGTGGCTTTGGTAAGTGGGTTTTCGAAGAATTTGATGAAAATGTTTTTGGAGCATGATGGAGAGATTGATCCTATGATGATGATGGAGGCTGCTATTTCTAAAGATGAGTATAAGTCGCTTGTTATAGTTGATTAAAAACTTATGATTTGGGCTTTGGTTTTGTATTCCTAGTTTTGGTTTGAATCTTTTAATGATTTGAAACTTTGATCGCATTTTATTTTAGCAAATTTGACCCATTAATTTGTTTTTACTCTTACACCGAACCAAACCAATCGATCCGACAACACTAACCTGGCTTTTCATCCTTAATCGACGCTCTAGTGGGGTCCGATCTCACATTAACTATGGTTCTAATTGGGTTATTACGTATTTGGGTTTATTCTATTACTAAATCTGTTTATGTATTGGGTCTTTCCCATAAAATACTGCCCGGGCTGGGCCTGTAAGTTTTTAGTTTCTTAAATTTATTAATTGCAAGCCCTTTAAAAAAAAAAACTATGGATGGGTCTTTCGGCAATGAACGACAACAGAAAACTACCGTTTCATCTACTTCTTCAAATGGGCTAGAATACTACTCTGAATGGCCTTTTCTTTTCTAAATGGGTTTACTACCTTAAGGGGCTTTTCAATTATATTTTATGCAACAAATTAATAGAAGAAAAACAATTGATAATATGATGAAATCTACTTTACATTATTGGTTGCATATTTTTGTTTTCGTTTGAAGATTGCATTCTAAAATGGTTTTGAAAGTTTTAGAATGTGTCTTAGATGAGATTAAAGGGAAAAAGAAGGGCAAAGTCGTATATGAAAGATGGATAAGAGGGGCAAATTAGTGAGCTTGTAAAATACATCGACATTAAAAATCGGCAGCACTGATTAAAAACGTGAGGTTAACACAAATAAATAATCCTCCAAGGAAGAAAAGAATAAATAAGGCGTATTGACTCAGCCATAGAGAGAGAAGCTTAACACTTATCGAGAAGTGCGCTTTGCCGCCTATTGAATAATGATGTATTGACATTAAATACTACTTCATCTCTCAACACGTGAAAGACATGCATTTAAAACTCTTTCTCTTTCGGCATCAAACATAAACTTCTTTTCTTTTTAATACTCCTTCTGTCCTAATATATAAGATGTTTTAGATCTTTTTATTTGTTCCATTATATAAGATTTTCTCTACTTTCAATGCATGATTTATATTAGTTTAATAGTTTTTAATTATTTTAATTATGCAGTATCTTCTTCTATTGGTTGAATTTTCATAAATGAGAAAACATTTATTGTTTCTTAATCTATGTGCTTTTAGTCTAAACATCTAATAAAATGAGACAGAGGGAGTACATAATTCCTTTTTCATTATTTATTTGTTCAAGGCTTGAAGCCACATTCATAAATTCATTTTAGTTTTTGTTAATCAATATATCATGTGAATTATATGACTGCTAATTTATTTCAAGTTATCATGCAATGTAATAAGTTAACAAGTTTTAATTTGATCAGAATATAGAAAGAGGTCAATTTAATTCGGAAGTGGTTCAAGGTTTTCTTTTCACAAGATTGAAAAACGTGAGTTCATTGAATACCTCTAAAACTTTGTTGGAGGAAAACGTAAAAATGTGTAAATCTGGTAAAGAAAAAAAGAGCAGCCACTTATCCTTTCAACAAAAGAAAACACAAGGAGCGGATACATATGAAAAAACACCACCCAAAATGCCAAAATGTGAAACTAAAAAAGTAAAATAAAAACATCCACATATATCATCCAAAGCGATCGACGGGTCATTTCTGGTTGGGCAGAAAACAAACTCCAACTTCCACGTTCCAACTTGACCGGATTTTCTTTACATTCCAATGGGTTTGAAAATCTTTCTATTTAAACTTTTGCAAAACACTAAAATCACCACCAACATTATATTGTTCTGAATCTCTATTAGTATGTTTTATTGGTTACTCTTCTGAATATGATAAAAGTTTATTGGTGTACACTATTGTTTAGAAATGTAAAAAAATTCAGTTGTATTATTATTAGGTCAACTATTTATTATTCTTGAATAGTAATGTCGAGAATATTGTTTATTTAAAAGTCAATAAGACAAAAAAAAAAAGTCAATAAGACTGACCAGTGACCAGTAATATGTGATTTGCTATACTAGTACTTGCAAGATTAAAATCATATAAAAGGTAAAAGTGGAAAAGAAAAACATGTCTCGAGAAAAATATACAGATCATAGACTAGAGTAGAAAACAGCCATATACTAATATCAATGCTCCCCTTTTTTGGGCTCTAGACTCTCTTATTCTAAAAGAGGTTTCCATGTCTTCTAGAATATAGAGCTTCTTTGTGTAAACACCTTTTTTCAGTCTAATCGTTCCCGACTTAAGGCGTTCTTCGACCTAATTTTACAAATCCTTTAAGAAAATTAGGGTTTCTCTCTGTTCTTCATTCAAAACTCGAGTTCTGCTTTGGTTGTGAAGAAGAGATCAGTGAGTTTTCGTTTGAGCAGTGTGTAGATTCTCGATTACGGTGTATAGAATTCCCAGGCTCGCTTGGTGAGTTCTTGTCTCCGGTCTGTCGAATCTACGATTTTTCCTCTTGGTTGTTGGCTGTTCGTTTGGGTCATTTTCAGATTCTGAATCCGTAGCTGTTTGGGTACAGAGTTGGTCTGCTAAAACAAGTTGCTGGTTCAAGTGTTGGTTTCGTCTTCTTAGATCTGGTTTTTATCTGACGAATCTGCGGTAATTTCTCTTGGTTGTTGGCTGCTCGTGTGGGTCAAGATCAGGTTCTGGTTCAGTAGCTGTTTGGTTACAGAGTTGGTCTGCTAAAACAAGTTGCTGGTTCAAGTGTTGATTTCGTTTTTTAGATCTGTTTGCTGTTGTGAAGGTGAGATGACGGCTGCAATGGATAAAGCTCTAATGGCAATGTCTCTTGAAGAAGAAGATGTTCCTTTTATCATGCCAGATCTTCCTGAGTTCAGTTCGTGCGAAAGGAATGTCCTCAGTTTGATTGGAAGGATTTTGAACCCTGATTGTCAGTCAGTTTCAGGTGTTGTTCATAATATGCCAAGGAAATGGCAAAAATCAGCTCGAGGTGTGGCTTTGTCTAAGGAAAGGTTTCAATTCATTTTCAAGAATGAATACGACCTAGAGGAAGTTCTGCAGAAAGGATTTCAAACTTACAATGAATGGGCGATTGTAATTGAGAGATGGTCTGAAACTCCACCTCTGGATTCTCTCCAATTCACTCATATTTGGGTCCAAATTCGCAATATCCCCATTAACTATTACACGGAGTTAGCTATCACGTCGCTGGGAGACATTGTTGGTCAAGTGGTTCAGGTGGCCTTTGATCCTTCGAGAGTTCAGTCTGAGGACCATGTCAGAGTTCAAGTCAAATTCGATGTCTCCAAGCCTCTCAGAAAATCCAAGATCATTGGGCTTCCAAAGAATCAGTCGACAGAGATCTTCTTTTTCTATGAAAGAGTTCAGAAACGGTGTTACAACTGTCAAAGATTATCTCATGAAAAAGAGGTATGTCCTATATTGATCAATGCCCGTCAAGCTGCTGCAATTGAAAGAAGACTTGGGAACAAGGTTCCTAAACCCTTGCCTCCAAAATTTTTGTCTGTGAGTGATCCTTTATTTGGTGTGTTGAGAGAGGATCAAGTTGGCCCTCATCCAGTTTCTGGTAGGCCAAAGATTGCTCATGATGTCCTTGAGGGGATGAGACAGTATCTGCTGGTGGCTAATGGTGAGGACCGGAAAATCAAAGAAGACAGAGTTAGGAAATCTGTTAAAGAAGCTGAAAGTTCTCCTGTGACTCAGAAGACTGTTCTTAGCTTGGAACCTGCTCCAATCATTACTCATGATTTGGAGAAAGGGAAAGGCATAGTTTTTGGTTATTCGTCTGATAATTCCACTACTAAAACTGATCCGATTTTCCATGCTCCTTTGGTGTCAAGAGGCTCTGCTCTTCATAGTGGTGGTGGGACTAGGGCAGTATCCCCGACTTGCAGCCTTTACTCTGATGGGGGTTCACAAGAAGGATGTGTTGAATCTAATCAGTTTTTTGTGACTAATAAGAGCTATATGATTGGGGCGTCACAGGCTGGTCCTTCCACTGGTTTTCTAAAGAAAACTAAAACTAGGAAAAGAAGGTCTAAGAGTTCAAGGAAAGCAAAGGGGAGATGTGAAGATATTTGTTATGAGGATGTGGTGAAGAAACAAGGATCTTTGTTAGGATCAGTTGAGAAGAGGAAGGCAGAAGATGATCTGGAAGGTGTCTCCAGTGCTGTAAGGGTTAAAACACCATTGATGGTCCCAAAGGAGGGACTGTCCAAAATCTGATGAGCATATTAAGCTGGAATTGTCAAGGAATGGGGCGGCCTCAAGACTTGACAATTCCTCGCCTCATGGAATTGCGTAAAAAACATTTTCCGGAGGTGTTGTTCTTAATGGAGACCATGAATTGCAAGAATGTTATTGTAGATATTCAAGTTTGGCTGGGGTATGATCATGTATATACTGTTGATCCGGTTGGTACCTGTGGTGGCCTAGCTTTATTTTGGAATGAGATCAAGTTCGCAGATAAGAATGTGTTGGACCTGTTTGTACAGTTAGGGTCTAACAATTTCTTTGTTTCTTGTGTGTATGGCAACCCGAATGCTAGTTTGAGACAAGAGGTGTGGGAGAGATTGACTAGGATTGGGGCTTCAAGGAAGGAGAGCTGGTGTATGGTTGGTGATTTCAACGAGATACTAAATAATTCTGAGAAGATTGGAGGTCCGAGGAGGTGTGAGTCCTCCTTTAAACCTTTCTCTACTATGCTCAGTGACTGTGGAATGTCTGAATTGGCAAGTTCTGGTAACAGCTTTACTTGGGGTGGAAGAAGGCAAACTTTATGGATTCAATGCAAATTGGATAGAGGTTTTGGTAACAAAAATTGGATGAGTATGTTCCCTGCTTCCAATCAAGGTTTTCTGCCTAAAAGAGGATCAGACCACAGACCAGTTTTGGTGAATCTGGTCTCTTCTCAAGCATCTTACAAAGGGTCTTTTAGGTTTGATAAACGTATGCTCCACAAGCCTTTGGTGAAAGAGGCTATTACCATTGCTTGGAACTCATCTGTTAATTCGGCTGACGATGGTGTTTCCACTCGATTGAGGAAGTGTAGAAAAGCGCTGAGTAAGTGGAAGAAGGAAAATGATTTGAACTCGAAGGTCAAAATCACTGCTCTTGAAAATGATTTAGAAGTTGTCCAGTCATCAGCTTGCCCCTCTTCTCTCCGGATTAATCAGCTGAAGAATAGGCTTGTAGTAGCCTATAGAGAGGAGGAAAGTCATTGGCAACAGAAGAGTATTGCTACTTGGCTTCATGCGGGAGACAAGAATACTAAGTATTTTCATGCATCTGTGAGGAACACCAGGTCTAAGAATGGTCTCTCTAAGCTGTTGGATGATAATGGTATTATGCATAAATCAGAAGCTTCCAAAGGTGATGTGGCTGCTTCTTACTTCCAAAAGTTGTTCTCTTCTTCTGATCCCACCAATTCTCAAGATCTCCTGGATGGTTTTGAGCCCAGAGTTACTGATGAGATGAATGAATTGTTGATTGGGAAGATTTCTTTGGAAGAGGTTAAGACTGCTGTGTTTTCCATCAAAGCTTCGAGTGCTCCTGGTTCGGATGGAATGACTGGACTATTCTTTCAACAGTACTGGGATGTAATTGGGAATCAAATTGTTAAAGAGGTCACTGGTTTTTTTGAGGATGGTGCTTTTCCAAAAGAATGGAACTTCACGCAATTGTGTCTCATTCCCAAGAAGGTTAACTCGCCTCTGATGAGTGATTTGAGGCCTATTAGTCTTTGTTCAGTCATGTACAAAGTTGTCTCCAAAATTATGGTATCCCGCCTCAAGCCTCTTTTGGATGGGATCATTTCACCGAATCAGTCGGCTTTTGTCCCTGGTAGGCTCATTTCAGATAATATCTTGATTGCACATGAGGCTGTGCATGCTTTAAGGACTCATCCAGCTATTTCTAAGGGGTTTATGGCGGTTAAAACGGATATGTCCAAAGCATATGACAGAATGGAGTGGAGCTACTTGAAAGATCTTCTCTTGGCTTTTGGTTTTTGTCAGAAATGGGTTGATCTTGTCATGTACTGTGTAACATCAGTGACTTATACTGTTCTAATCAATGGACAACCCTTTGGTTTGATTAATCCAAATAGAGGTTTAAGACAGGGTGACCCCTTATCACCTTCTCTGTTTGTCTTATGTGCTGAAGGGCTAACTCATTTGCTAAACAAGGCTGAACAGGCTGGGATTCTTAATGGACTGCAGTTCTCTGTTGATGGTCCTGCAATTCACCACCTGTTATTTGCAGATGACAGCTTGTTCCTGTTCAAAGCAAAGGAAGATCAATGTGGAGTAGTCCAAAGCATTCTCTCTTCCTATGGTAAGGTCACTGGACAACTCATTAATCTAGAAAAGTCTTCCATTACATTTGGGGCTAATGTGGAACAGCTGGATAAAGGGAAGATTCAAGAGAAATTGGGAATTTTCAGTGAAGGAGGAGCCGGTTCTTACCTAGGGTTGCCTGAGTGCTTTAGTGGCTCCAAAGTCGACCTTTTGGCCTACATTCATGACAAAATGAAAGCTAGAATGTCTGGATGGTTTGCAAAAACCCTTTCTCAAGGTGGTAAAGAAGTTTTGCTCAAAGCAGTTGCCATGTCGATGCCGGTTTATGCTATGTCTTGCTTTAGGCTGCCAAAAACAACTTGTGACAAACTCTCTGCGGCTATGGCTGCTTTCTGGTGGGACTCTACTGAAGACAAAAGGAAGATGCACTGGATTGGGTGGGACAAGTTGTGTCTCCCCAAGCATGTGGGTGGACTAGGGTTTAAAGATATTCAGGTCTTCAACCAGTCTCTGTTAGCCAAACAGGCTTGGAAAATCTTGCAGGATAAGGATAGTTTGTGTGCAAGATTTTTAAAGAGTAGGTATTTTGAGGAGGGTAATTTTCTTCAAGCTCCTTTGGGAGGTAGACCTTCTTTTGCTTGGAAGAGTATTCTTCATGGAAGAGATCTCCTTCAACATGGTCTCAGGAAAATGATTGGTAATGGTGAAGATACTTTTGTTTGGACTGCTCAATGGGTTTTGGATGGTGTTATGAGAGCTCCATTCATGAGAAATATTATCTTTGATTTGGATATGAAAGTAAAAGATCTGTTGGATCCAATAGATGGTACTTGGGTTTTGGAGTCTTTGCAGGAGCATTTCTTCCCTAGAGATGTTGAATTGATCTTAAAAATCAAACCGGTCATTTCTTCTGAAGATTTTCACATCTGGGAACATACAAAGAGTGGAGAATACTCGGTTAAATCCGGTTATTGGTTTGCTTATCAAAGAGAAAAGGCTGAGCTGATTAGAGATTTTCAAATGCAGCCTTCCATCCAACCGATTAAAGATTTGATCTGGAAAAGTCTCACTCCCACTAAAATCAGAAACTTCATGTGGAAGGTTATTAGTGGTGCTGTCCCTGTGGTTGATAAAATGTTGAGCAGAGGTCTTAAAGTGGACTCAAGATGTCAGAGCTGCGGGCATGAAGGAGAATCTACAAATCATGTGCTGTTCAACTGTACGGTAGCTAGACAGACTTGGGCTTTGTCAAATTTTCCACTTCCTCCTGACGGGTTTGACTCTCATTCTTTATACCACAACTTCTTCTTTCTCTTTGTGTCTGCCAAAAATAATTTGATTCCTTTGGAGACCAGAAGATCCTTTCCTTGGATATTGTGGCAACTATGGAAAAATAGGAACAGGTTTTTCTTTGAAGGAAGAAGGTTTGTGATTACTGAAACTGTTGCTAAGATAAAAGAAGATGCTAATCAATGGTTTTTTGCTCAAGTGCTTGAGAACAGAGATCTTTTGTTGGAGCAATCTGTTTCGGCTCCTGCTAAGATTAAGTGGTCGCCTCCTCCTCATGAATGGTTAAAATGCAATGTTGGATCTTCATGGGACAGGATTGGAAGAATTGGAGGTGCTGCGTGGGTTCTTAGAAATGAGTTTGGAGAAGTGTTATCTCATGCTAGAAGGTCTTTTGCAGAGGTAAATAGCAAACTCGACGCAAGTGTTGTGTGTTGGCAATGGGCTTTGGAGAGTATGAAAAGCCTCAAAGTTGACAAGATAGTTTTTGGGTCTGAGGACAAAGAGCTGATAGGTGCTGTTTTACGACCACCTGCTTGGCCTTCTTTTTAAGTTTCAGGGCATCCTTTTGACTGATCTTTTAAGAGATTTTTTGGTTTGGAATCTGGTTGGTGAAGAAAGGAGCTCAAATCTAGGAGCCCACCTAATTGCCAGAAGTGTAACAAGAGAGGATCGCCGCCAATCGTACGTAGCAACCGGATTTCCTCGTTGGTTAAAACATCTTTTTGAAGAAGAAAGTAGTATTGCCTTGTGTAATGCTCAATGGGGTTGATCTACAATGATTGTCTTTGATCCGTTAACCTTTTTGTATGTATGATCGTAGTCATGAAATATAATACTATCTTTCAGTGAAAAAAAAAAAAAAAAAAAAGACTAGAGTAGAAAATGTATAATGTCAGAAGAACCCAATGTGACGAACAGTAACAGAAACATGTTAGCATGCTCACCAAATTTTGAAGATATTTTAAAAACATCACTACTATGTTCATTGGACTTCCGTTATTTCCGGATAAAATAACCCAAAAAAAAATATCTTCTTTCTGCGTAGCAATTACATTAGGTATATTAACAATTTAAACATGTGTTTTAAATCATTAAATAAATTAGATAAGAGGAAGTTGGGAGCCTAATAAAAACAAAAAGAAATAAACAAAAAAGAAAAAGTGGATGCGTTGCCAATTGTGCCGAAAAGAAAGAGAAAGCATGAACCTCGTGCGTTAATAATATCAAACGGGTATACATACATTCATTTTAAAAACTCTCACATGAATAATCAAAATCCTTTATTATTCCTCCATTACTTCATCTCTCTCTCTCGATCTCTATCACTTTCTAAGATCAAAGAAGAAAGATGTCCAAAGCTACCGTAGAACTCGATTTCCTTGGTCTCGAGAAGAAGCAAACCAACAACGCTCCTAAGCCTAAGTTCCAGAAATTTCTCGACCGCCGTCGTAGTTTCCGAGGTTTCTTTTTATCTTTTTTTTTTTCATTCCATGTCTCTTTCTCTTTCTCTTTTTTTTTTTAACGATTAATCGGTTCTTTTTTTTAATTTGGAATTAATTTCCTTGCAGAAATTCAAGGTGCGATTTCGAAAATCGATCCGGAGATTATCAAATCACTGTTAGCTTCCGGTGCTAACCAATCCGATTCATCAGCCAAAACTCGTTCGGTTCCGTCTACACCAAGAGAAGATCAACCTCAGATCCCGATTTCTCCGCTCCACGCGCCTCTCGCCAGGTATTTTTGTTTTTTCCGGTAAAGTTTTTTTTTAATATTTTTTTTGGCGCTACCGGGATTTTGAAATTCAAATTTTCCTTAGGTCCAGTACGGAAGTCGTTTCGGGAACTGTTCCTATGACGATCTTTTACAATGGAACCGTCTCCGTTTTCCAAGTGTCTCGTAACAAGGCTGATGAAATTATGAAAGTCGCTACGGAAACAGCTTCTAGGAAAGACGAATCATCGATGGAGACAGATCTTTCGGTAATTCCCCCGACCACTCTAAGACCAACAAAGCTCTTTGGCCAGAATCTAGAAGGAGGTTAGTAGAGTACAAAAAATTACCAAAAAAATCACTTAGTGCTTGATTCTTCAAGAGTTTGCTTAGATATTGTTGCATGTAGAGAGATTTAAGAAGAGTTTGTTGTTAGAGAGGATTTTGTTGCTAATTAGTTTGGAATTAGATATGAATGACTATAGTTTATGCCAAAGATTCCCTAAATTTTGTTTAGATATTTATAAACATTATACTTAAACGTATAAACATGTGGTTTAATTTCTGATAAGGAACTGGTTTATGTGTGTGTTTAGATCTTCCCATCGCAAGGAGAAAATCACTGCAACGTTTTCTCGAGAAGCGCAAGGAGAGGTAAATATTCTTCAACAATCCAAGGATTTTTACCCCACAAATAATTAAATAAGGTTTTTATTTTTCTCTCTCTGTCGACCTTTTTAATTTATTTACGATAGTAATAAAGGGTCCTGCCTCTTTTACTCTCATACAAGTTAAATTCATCTGAACAAAGCACATGCTTCTACGTAGATAATGGAGATTAGTAGTAGAGGTATAATACGTAGGTTATTGTAGTGGTGGAACTTTAAAAACGTGTTGACTTTGACTCTATTTCTGTTTGCTACACCGACAAGTTATCTTTTTCAAAATGAGGAGAAACACCGAAAGAAAATTGAACTTTTGTTTGTTTTTTATCGGACCATAATGCCAAAAAAAGATCTGTTTATTATGTAAGTTACTACAAAAACGCGGTTTCACATTTTATTTTTCTTTGGCTTGTTGTGTTTGCAGATTAGTATCAACATCTCCTTACTATCCGACATCGGCCTAAACGATCTCTTTTTAGATTGGGACATGGACCAAATTTGTCATTTTCACTCACACTTGGATGTTAGTTTTGCATTTGGCTTCTTCCCAATCTCTTTTGAAGCCTTCTTCGTCGTTGCTAAATCGTATACTATTCACGACACGTTTTTAGGAGATTACGTTACCTGCTATGATTATATATATATTAGTATAGTTTTTTAAAATGTTTATTATCTTTAATATCATTGATACTTTGATTTAAGAAGCTCTCTGTTATCTCGTGACATCTACTTTTGTTTTATTTGGTTTAGTATTTGGAAAAGAAAATGAACACGCCTCTTTTACCATCTCATGAAGCTTCCGTATTAAAAGAAATGTGCTCATTCATCTTTGATTATATTGGTTGGTCTAGTTTAGTTTGTCCTTATTATTAATATAATGGAAACGAGATTAAGAAACACGTGAATATTAGTTATATAATACGATCAAGTCAAGCTGACTAAGGTGTATAATTATGTCAAAAGTCTCAAGTCTTGACATGAGTTTGGTGGAATTGTAAATTGGGAAGAATAAGAAGAGAAGGCTAAAGTGAGCGTACTTTGTGTGTTTCTTTTTGACCATTGCCACTTTCATTGAATAGTATCCATCACTAGCACTAACAATGGCATGGCTGGTCCGGATTTAAGAAACAAAAACCACACAACCATTTAATGTGTCTTTTCATTGAAACCAAAAATCTTGTAGCTTATTGATATTGAAATATACACCATTGGCATAAGTGGGATATTTTTCTTATATGTATTTTTTGTTACAAATGTTTTAGTGTCGTAAATATTTGTGTTTAGTTTGTTATTAGAACAACATTAAACAAGTAAATTGCTTCTCAGTTAAAGAGAAAACGTAAATGAGGTCATCATTTCTTATTATCATCTAATGCGATGACATAAACTACTTTTCATAATGCAATGGCAATGACATAAAACTACTTTGCATAATGCAATGGCTCATGAGAGTACGAAACTGACGTTTTTGTTTTGGATATGAAATAATACTATCTTTTCAGAACTGCTTGACCTATCTTATCTACCAAACAAAGTTTATTAACATTTATACAGGACTAAGTTATAAAAATCAATGATTCAAATTAGTCCTTAACCTAGGAGTGTTTTGTTTTTGGTCTTCATTGCCTATATAACAATTCTGATCCCTACTATTCAAGACTAATTTCATAAGTACGATTAATTAATTAATCATTAGATTCAACTTAGTCTCAATAGTTTAGCTAGTTCGTTTGGAAAAAAATCTATGTATCCGATTAATCCCAGTATCAATAGGTGGTTTAAGCAATTGGTTCGTTTAAATAGCTCCGGTGGAGGAAGCACCAACCTAGGGACTAAATAACAATTTGGCCATATCAATCCAATAGAATAAACAACCTATGTCAACAAATCGTCGAAAAACAAAAACTGTAGTATCTGATTCACATCAATTTGAAAAGAAACTTTAGAAACAGGGATACTAAATTTGAGGAAAATCCTTGTAAATTTGCTGATAAAATATCGATTGCTACAAACCATTCAATATACTGAACAGAGAGATTCAATCCACAAACCAAAAAAAAATTACATTATTTACAATTCACCGCTATTAACACTAAGCAAAAAAAAAAATCAAAACAGATAATTAAAAAGAGATTAACGAATCGGAACATCAGTTTTAAAAAGCTCGATTTATATAATCCGCATGATTTATAGGAGAGCACCGTTGTAGTGCAAAATATTCATCATCTGCTCCGATTCATTCAATCAATTTTTTCAATCGAAATCAAGTATCATCAAAATCAGAAAAAAGGAGAGAAAAACAAAACACCAACCACAAAACCGAATCTAATCTAGCAATACTGGCTTCGAAATTCAAATCTTAAACACGAAAAAACAAATAAAGAAGAGTATGTTGAAGAAGATCTAACGAGAGAAATCTGAGTCTGTTAGGCTAACGCAGCTAAAGTTTATTTTATAGGTGAAGAACCCTTGGACTCAGAGAAACCCTAGCTTGAATTTAGCTATCGAATTTGGGCCACATGGGTCACTCTTTGACACCTTTCTGAGCCGGCCCATATCTCATTATTCTAAATCGGTTTTTCCAGAAATATTTGATCTCAGTTGGGATAGACCGGTTTATTCAAAACCGGATTGGACACTACTCCTCTCTCAGCTCGAAATCCGCATGATCGGGTTCTTGAGAATAATTCATGTTGCGGAGAGTCGCAAATTGATGATCCAATGCAATCGCATTCGAAAATGTGGTTTTTCTGTGCAAACAGCCGAATCGTCTGTGCAATGGTCGGATTCGGTTGTCCCATGCTTAGACTCTCATGCTTACGGGACAATGCTCCGTCGCTGCATTCAGAAAAACGACCCAGTTTCTGCAAAGGCTATTCATTGCGATATCTTGAAGAAAGGAAACTGCTTGGACCTTTTCGCCACAAACATTCTACTCAACGCTTATGTGAAAGCTGGGTTTGACAAAGATGCGTTGAACCTGTTCGACGAAATGCCTGAGAGAAATAATGTCTCTTATGTTACTCTTAGTCAAGGGTATGCGTGTCAAGATCCCGGTGGTTTGTATTCCAGGTTGCATCGAGAGGGTCATGAGCTTAATCCACACGTCTTCACATCTTTCTTGAAGTTGTTTGTTAGTTTGGACAAAGCTGAGATTTGTTGGTGGTTGCATTCTCCTATCGTTAAGCTTGGTTATGATTCCAATGCTTTTGTCGGAGCTGCGCTTATTAATGCTTACTCCGTCTGTGGTTCTGTTGATAGTGCAAGATCTGTTTTTGAGGGGATTTTGTGCAAAGACATTGTTGTTTGGGCAGGAATTTTGTCGTGCTATGTAGAGAATGGATATTTCGAGGATTCTCTTGTTCTGCTGTCTTGTATGGGGATGGCTGGTTTTATGCCTAACAACTACACCTTTGACGCGGCGCTTAAGGCTAGTATTGGGCTAGGCGCATTTGATTTCGCCAAGGGTGTTCATGGCCAAGTCTTAAAAACATGTTATGAGTTGGATCCTCGTGTGGGTGTTGGTTTGCTTCAGTTGTATACACAACTCGGAGATATGTCTGATGCTTTCAAAGTGTTTAATGAGATGCCAAAGAATGATGTGGTACCTTGGAGTTTTATGATTGCTCGTTTCTGTCAAAACGGTTTCTGCAACGAGGCGGTTGATCTTTTTATTCGAATGAGAGAAGCTTTTGTTGTCCCTAACGAGTTTACTTTAAGCAGTATTTTGAATGGCTGTGCCATAGGAAAGTGTTCTGGCTTAGGTGAGCAACTCCATGGTCTTGTGGTCAAGGTTGGCTTTGATTTGGATGTCTATGTCTCAAATGCTCTTATTGATGTATATGCCAAATGTGAGAAAATGGATACCGCTGTTAAGTTATTTGCTGAGTTATCAAGTAAAAATGTGGTAAGCTGGAACACAGTTATTGTCGGGTATGAGAATCTAGGCGAAGGAGGAAAAGCGTTAAGCATGTTTCGTGAAGCGCTCAGAAATCAGGTGTCAGTAACTGAGGTAACTTTCTCGAGTGCTCTTGGAGCTTGTGCTTCTTTGGCGAGCATGGAGCTCGGTGTCCAAGTTCAAGGACTGGCGATAAAAACCAATAATGCCAAAAGGGTTGCAGTGAGTAACTCATTGATAGATATGTATGCAAAATGTGGTGATATCGAAGTCGCACAATCGGTGTTCAGCGAGATGGAAACGATAGATGTAGCTTCATGGAATGCGTTGATCTCAGGCTATTCCACACATGGACTGGGTAGACAGGCATTGAGAATCTTTGACATTATGAAGAAGAGCGATTGCAAACCAAATGGTTTAACATTTCTTGGTGTTCTGTCTGGATGCAGCAATGCAGGATTAATAGATCAAGGTCAAGATTGTTTTGAGTCGATGATTTGCGATCATGGTATTGAACCATGTTTGGAACATTATACGTGTATGGTCAGGCTTTTGGGAAGATCAGGGCAGCTTGACAAAGCAATGAATCTGATTGAAGGGATTCCATATGAGCCTAGCGTTATGATCTGGAGGGCAATGCTTAGTGCCTCAATGAATCAGAACAATGAACAGTTTGCAAGGAGATCGGCAGAGGAAATACTAAAGATCAATCCAAAGGACGAGGCAACATATGTTCTACTATCAAACATGTATGCAGGTGCAAAACAATGGGCAAACGTTGCTTCCATTAGGAAAAGCATGAAGGAAAAGGGTGTCAAGAAGGAACCTGGTTTAAGTTGGATAGAACATCAAGGTGATGTGCATTTCTTCAGTGTGGGTTCATCAGATCATCCGGATATGAAGCTCATAAATGGAATGCTGGAATGGCTTAACATGAAAGCAACACGAGCCGGTTATGTTCCTGATCGGAATGCGGTCCTGCTCGATATGGATGATGAAGAAAAGGATAAGAGATTGTGGGTTCACAGCGAGAGATTGGCTTTGGCATATGGGCTTGTTCGAATGCCATCATCAAGAAATCGCATACTGATAATGAAAAATCTACGGATATGTTCGGATTGCCATAGTGCTATGAAAGTGATATCAAGTATCGTGCAGCGAGATCTTGTTATCCGAGATATGAACCGGTTCCATCATTTTCATGCAGGAGTCTGCTCTTGCGATGACCACTGGTGAATGAAGCAGACTACGTACATAAACACACATTTCAACTCTTTGTCTCTTCAGTTGAATTTAGGTACAAAAGATTACGACAATGCCTGATAAGTTTTTGCACATGACACAGTACAGAGTATTATTAGTCAGGTCAACTACACAGATAAAGGAAAGCAAAGAGCTTAACCTTGGACTTGGACTCATACAAGCCTAGCGACTAGAGATCACACATAGATACAGGTTTTCTACAGACACACAACTCAGCTTTACAATACAGAGATCACATATCCATGTCGGCAAAGATCTCTTCATCTTCTCCATATGGAGGACTGTCAGTGAGAAATGCATCACTTGCCAGGTTACTGCAACAAACATTTTTCGAGTTGGAAAGACTTTTAAAGAAGAAGACTGTGAAAGAAAAAGACAACTTGGTAGGATGACAATCATCTAACCTCGTGCAGCAGAAACGAAAACCCGCAACGCGCTTCAGTTTTCGGTTGTAGAATAAGAAACAGAAAGACCATCTGGATTTGACCCAAAAGAAAAAGAAAGCAGCCTTTTAGTTGACAGTCAGGCTAGAATCTCTGAATAAGCGAATAGAAAGAAAAAAAGTTGTTGTAACTCACATTGCTCCTTCCTCGAGGAAAGGATCAGCATTAGGATTTGGGTTGTAAACATATATCTCACATTCAGCTAATTTTACGACCTGTTTCACATTTGTATGATTTAGTACATTCCATCACGCTTGCCCAGGTTCTAAGATTTCTTATTACAGGGAACTTACCTCATCAAGAGCCTTGTAGATTACCTCAAGAAGGGAACCATCCTCATTCTTCTCAGTCCATTCCTATATAAGGAGAATATATATTCTATATAAGCTTTTGTGCATAAAAACTCGATCCATTACATCATCATCCTTTAAAGAAACTTGATGGAACATCGAATAGGATTGTTGAAGAAGGGTAAAGTGATTCTCCCTTGCAAAAACAAGCTTTTTCTAGTTTCCATCTAAACAGAAAACAATTAACACTTAGAATACCTTAGAAGCTTCAAACATATAGTTGTTAAAAATCTGCTTAAACGTGTCCCAGCTTTCCTCCGAAAAAAACTGATGTGCTTTGACAGCGCTGGAAACGAGAAAATAGAAAAAAACAATGCGATAGTGACAGAGTTACAACAGAGCTGTAGCTTATCAAGTCAATCAGATACTTGAGACATAACTAGTTTGTTTAGATTTTTGGGAAATGGAGAGAATTGAACTCTCAGCTCCTACAGTTCAATGAACCGTTGGTCAAACCTTCTGACAACACTCCCACACAGATTTAAAGGGGGATTATATAGCGGGTTGCCATATCGCCCAAGAAGCTGACAATGACATTACCCATAATCCCCCCTTCAAAGAAGAAACATAGTTTTCCTTGCAGGTTTACAACACAAATAATTACCTGAAATCATAGTCCGGATACATCTGATAGAGCGTAAGAACCAAGTAGATCAAAGCCTTTCGACTGGAATAAGCACCAGAATATAGACGTAAGAAAGAGAAATATCATTAAAAAAAATGGATTATAAAAAACTCTGTAACTAGATATCTTACCTTGATCTGCTTAACAAGAGATCAACGGGTGAAGAAGAGTCAGTGTCAGACGATTTCCCAAGATAATCGAGCATCTGAGTTCAAGGGACAGGAACAATAGATAAAACAATTATGTCAACAAGCAGAAACTGTACACATTCAATGATTAAGTCCAAAACACATGCTTGATTGCAATTATTAGATGCAAGTCAATTGCAAAGACTACACATTGCTATCAAATTACCTCATTCTCCAAACTAAGAGACAATCTTTTATCAGATCCTGCATGTTTGCCTATCAGAAAAAAAAAAAGCTTTAACTTATTTTCCTTGTAGCCCAGAAGAATAATTGATTGAGAACACAAACAAGGTGCTTACAAGAGTAGGCTTCCAAGCAACCTTTGATAGTTCTTTCCCCGAGATTTAGATGACCCATAAAAACATTCAATCTGGAATTCAGAATTCCAAAATAGGAAAAATCTGATTCTCATAATTCACAAAAAAAGCTGGCAATAACTCAATTTGACAACAACAACAAAAAAAAAAAGTTTAAACCTGTCTAGGTTAGTGTACTCCAAGAACTTCATGATAGTAGTAGCGGCTAGATCCTCCAGAAAGATGCGATAAACCTAAGAATTTTAAACAGAGCAGATAATTTAAACCAAGTCAGCTTATGCAAGATTATTACAGATCTCTCAGAAACTAAGGTTTGAAATTAACATGTCCAAAATCTGGAAAAGACCATAATTGAAGAACCAGACCATAATGACATGAACACCAATGATTGTCTCAATTTCGAAACCCTAAAATCAACTAAAACTATAAAATACGAAATTGGAAAAATATGAATCTCAACTACCAAAATTCAGATATATAACAGTAAAATTTAGAGAATGGGCGGTAATAGAAGAATTCGAAATACCTGTATAAATTCGAGAGACACCTGAAAAAACGTTTTTTTCGGAAATGAAAATACAGAAAATTGCTCAGCGGTGTTTTCTCTTTCTATTACGAGGAAGATGCGGATATGCTCAACTTTGGTCTTGTAATGGACAGCGAAGCGTCTGAATCTCAATAATGTGAACTGCGTGCCGTTTTTTTAAAGATATTTCATGGGCCGTCCGAATTTTGGGTCTTTAATTACCAAAATTTGTACTTATTTTATTTCAGTATTCATTGAAAATAAAAATCAGTATTCATTGAGCTGGACTAATTTGATAAGTAAGTAATTTTTTTGGTAAAGAATTTCTCGTAAGTTCACTATAGATAAACCTTTTGAAATGAGTTGATGTTTCTTATAAGAAAATAAATTGGTTTGTGATAATTCGTTACTATATTAAATAGATGTCACGAGATTCATGTTGTCTACCTTCGAAATGAATTGATTTTATCCAAACTGGACGGCATTACATGACGGCCTCAATTCAGGTGGACCACGTCCACGTTAACGTATTAATAAAACCATATGCTAATACTTTTTTGTAAGATTTCTTATTTTGTTTAAACTTTTCATGGCATTGATTTTTTTTTTATTATTTGGCCTTGTGGTATTGATTTTTTCATACTGAAAACCTACTTAGATATTATCTAAACTTCAAAGGCATGAGCATGAGCAATAAGACGAGTTAGGATTTCATTTGAAATGAAAATCCTATCGGTATTAATGATTTTGTAACACTGATCATTTTCATTTCAAATCTTGCTATTGGAATTTACACTCTGGTTTCACCCACAGTTTATTATCTAGTCTTATCTAGGCCCTCTAATCGTGTGATTCTGAACTTAGTTTTGGGTTTGAGAGCTAATAACGGGAAAAGTGAGCCTATGTTTCAGCCGAAACCAATTTACCACCACGAACGAAGGTACATATTTTAAGATTTTAGAACCCCATGTTATATTCTGAACATTTTCTTGGAGTAGAAAACAAAATAACGTGTACTGGAAAAGCAAAAGATATATATATGTAGCACATTTAAAAATAGCATGGAAGTGGCAGATGGTCATGATTGCGATTCTGGATGGACACTCTCTGTGTTATAGGCTCCATGCGAAAACAGCAATTGACGAATAATTTTAGCTTATGGTTTTCTGATCTTAGTTCGTTTCTTGTCTTTTTATGTCTTCCAAATATTCTCTCTGTATATATATATATTTATATATATATGCTAAGACATTATAGTGTAAGTCATTGTAAAAAAATGGACGGCATCCAATAATATGCAAACCATGAATTGTCAAAAAGATAAGTCTAACAATTGGATCAAAAGTAATGCATTTATTCAAGTACAAATTTTGCCTTAATTACCATCCTACTTAAAACATGAAAATGTATGTTATCGACAAAATAAAAATAAAAACACTATAAATAGAGAGGTGGGATATATATATATATATATATATATATATATATATATATATATATATATATCAATGTGTCTATTATATGAATAACATCTTCAACAATTTACCGTTGTAGCAGAGGGTTAATTAGCTAAAGGAGCCACTGAGGTAGCAGCAGAAGCTATGGCAAGATCAGTTTGGAAGTCACAATTCATGACTCGGGTTAATTTCTATTTTGGTTATCTCTTCTTTATAAATTTGTATGTATAAGTTTGTGGTTTGTTTGAGCATTACAACAAACTTTTGAGTCCATTTGTGTAACCATTTTTCATGCTTTTTTAAATATAAAAAAAACAATTTATTATTAAACCAGTAACAATGAAGTGAACACAACAGTATGCATATTGTTTGACGAATTACCATGACTTAGCCACATGATATACATGACATTTGTAGTGCTTTGATTTGATTGTTCACTTATTTAGGCAGTCATTATTTGTAAACGTATACATATGTGTGTGTCTCTGTATATGTTTCAGCATAATATTATAACGAAACATTTACACTAGAAAATATTGCGATCAACTTTAATCTATGTCAGAGAATGAATACCTAATTTAGTGGAGTTTATGTATAGATTAAAAAAAAAAGAAATAGAGAGAATCCCGCGTGGGCCGTAACTTAAAAACATGAAAAATACTTGGAATCAAGAGAAGTAAGTTGATACAGAAATTTGATTTGACCATTGAACGAGAGAGTGGATAATATTCTATGTATGCACATTGATCGGTGTATCTCTCTATGTATTTAATTTGTAAAGTAGAATATTCGTTAAGACGTGAAGAGGAAAGAGATGGTTGTAAATAAAGGGAACATGCAATGCAGAAAGAGAGAGAAAGTTTTGTTTCTTTTTTTTTTGCCAATAAGAAAGTTTTGTTTCTTTTACAACATTGGAATGATAACTCTTCCACTCAACTTCACTATATGCCTCAAAATTTACTTGTCCCAATAAGCCTGCCTAAAGGCACCTTTCTTCCAATATGCATGTCCAAATTTATACATAAAACAACAAATACTCGCATAAAAATTTTAATGATCAAGCGATCGATACTGTTACGTGTGCGGCTATATATCTTTGTCATATGTGGACTACAGTGTATACAAAAAAAAAATGTAACCCTTTTTTTAGTCATAGGTTTTCTTCCAACTCGGTTATTATGTCAAATTGTAATTTTGCTAATTCGACGACAGTTACAAATATCAACTCCGCATCAAAAACTCATGTGATGAGTTTAGCAAAACAAACATCATTTTGAATACAAATCTTTATCCAACCTTAGCATCATGATGTACAAACGATAGATCACTTAGCTTAGCCAACTCTCTCATTTCTGTTTTCAGTAAATGATCTTGGAAATAAACAAGAATGAATCTTTGCTTTATGTGTAGCTGAGATTTTGTCCTTTCTCTTACTTGGTCCCATGAATATTATTTCTTAGTACACACGTATAGGTATCGTTATGTACATATTAGATCTAAGCTCAAAAGTCTATTGGAATAGATATAGTCACATTAGCTAAAAAAAATTAATATCTTTTAACAAAAAAAAAAGCATTAGCTAAATTTTTTTCTACGATCTACTACAAATTAAAGTATAACTTAACTCTAATATATGGAAAATAAAATAAATAAATGGCATAGTCACGTTGACAAAAACAAATTGAACAAACCATTTCAAAAGTGAAATGGAATCAAAGAGTTATTGTTTATGTACTCATCCAAGCTCAAACAGTTTTACATAATTCTATTTTGGTGTATCGTTCCTTTATAGTAACAAGACTTTCGATATCATAATTTTTGCAACCTTTTGGTTTTCAAAGACAAAAGGGATACAGCTTTTTTTGTGGTTTGATTCAAAGGCTAAGTCATTTCATGCCCCATGCAATGTCACCAAAGGCCACGCCTCTCAACCTTTTCACTTCCCCTTTTCCACCAAAAGCTGACTCTCTCCCTCTCTATGCATGTATATATATGTCCTCTTGATGTAATATACATTGTTCTTTATTGACCATGCACTAATGTTGATATATAAGAGTGCTTTCAAGAATGAAGTTTCTTATTAAGTAGGAATGCTGAATTAATGCGCATACTGGCAACAAGGGAAGCATTCAAAATTAATTGAGGTGGAAAGGACTGTTAAGCTTTATGATCATACCACCATCTCAGCGTGATCTGGGTCCAATTGTTGTATTTACCTTTACATTTAGTGTGTAGTTTTTTCAGATATATACACCCACAATTTTTCACCATTTAAAACAAATTTTCGTAACCTGGTTTTTTACTTGGAGAGTCAGCTTGGCCGAGCCACGAGGACTAGATTTGCCAAAACAAATATTCTTAACCTGACTTTTTCTTGATATATATTGGGCTTTGCACTTTTCACCATGCTAATTTGACTAGTTAGAGCTTGCTATGATAATGATCTAGACTTGTTTAGAGTTTTTATCAACTATATATCTCCTTGAACTGTGATTTATGAGCTTTTGTTCTAGTTTGACTAATGCCTTGTTGAAGATTCAAGTAGGAAAAACGGATTAGCTAGGCTTGTTTCTCAATGAACACCAATGTGATTGGGATATAAACCATAGACATATTGGAAAATCAAATTAAATTAATCATCATTACCACATTAGAATCAACCAGAAAGGTCCCGTTATCCTAATATTAATTGCACGTTTTGATCAACCAGAGTCAAAGCTCTATATTGGAGAACCACCCTAATCGACCGTTCTAATGTACGCACTTGCTCTCCAAGTCCCTCTTCATTTCCACCTCGTACGAACTACTCCAATTGTTTTTATTTTGAGCTCTAGCCGTAAAGCCACAGAGAATAAACGATGAGATGTCTTTAGTACTTGAGATCATTTCAGAATGAGCTGAAGTCTTCACTTTACTTTTGCCTTACTTCGATAGATTAGACACTCTAATTAATTTCTGAAAGAGTGTCTCGAACACTTAGCATTTTTTAGCCACTTAGTTCAACAATGTTGCACTAGGTAATTTGGTGCAGATTGGGAACAACTGGTTTTTTCTATTTTATTAAAAAACGTACTAGCTCAAGATTGTTGGGGAGCACATGGTTCTTAATAGAAGTACAATTCCATGAGAAACCATGTCTCTCAAAGCATCACAAGTCTGTATATTTTGCTGTATGATCTCGGGAAATGAGCTTTTAACCCAAAACATCATCATTTTCGGTGCATGCCAAACTCCTTCAAGCGTCTTTTTTGTATTCTTTAATCAGTGACTTAAATATTCGTGGTTTTCATTAGGAATAATTAAGTATTGTTCTTGGGATTATTAAACACTTCATATCTAAATAATTGAAATTTGACAGGTCTAATGTCATCATGCCTCGCACTCCACTCATCTCGTTTCTGGCTTTACTGATAAACCCAGCTTTTATTTAATTTTAACCCCAAAAATACCAAAAACGAACATATTTAGAAAGGGGAAGTTCTTTAGCAAAAAAAAAAATAAGTTGAACTTAAGAAAAACGTAATATGCAGATTATAAGTTGACTCGGTCAACTTATTGACTATTTTCCCCATTAAAATATAGGAAATAAGATGAAATGACCATGAAACAATCTTTAAGTTCACAAATTAACCATCGCATTTCTTTTTTAACTCATCCTTGTTCAACTTCTCTCGATGAAAGTACGTCAAATAAGACAAAATATAGAACTATAAAATGGAAATTCGACGTTATATATATAATGGTACTCCTCATGAATGTATCGTATAATTACAACTAATATATTCTTCCAAGTTTCTAAAATAAATCAAGAGAGACAGAAAATAAAAATTATATCACGTATACAACATTTTACATATATACTACTGTAGTTCCTGTCATGTATTATTAATATCTTATTTACGTTGAACAGATGTTCGAAATATCTCAAAACTTTCGTTGGCCTGATGACGCAGGAAAATTACTAGTTATATTTGATTTTATATTATTGTGGCTCGAGTCAACATGCAGCTGGATTGGTTCACTGTAACAATTATCTATGTAGTTTGTTCATTCAATATTATCATGCTCTTGGAATCATTCTAAGTAATTTGGAGCGATTTGAATGAACTCTCAAGAAATTATATAATCCTAAATGCTATTTTTAATTAAGTGACGTTCCTCTTACCAATATGAAAAATATGTGAACAAGTTGCATCGTAGATACTCCCAAACATATGCGGCAAAAATTCTTGGCCCTCCCCGGAGTGACACGGCAAAAATATTCAGAAATGCACAAAATTATACTTATATTTTTAAGAAATTGAATTTTTCTCATCATCTATATAATAAAAATTTTAAAAATAATCGTAGTGTTAATTTTTATTTTATTTTATAATGATTCAATCCTAGTTTGCCGTTATATATATCTCATGATATAATAACATCTCATAATTTCAAGAGATCCAGATAGTAAATCTCAGTTTCGCTATCTGGAATCTTTCAATTTTTGTTTTAAGGCCGTGTATGTGGTGGCTGAAAAAGAAAATAAAATACATTTGTGTATGAATGAATGTAATAGAAAAACATGTACCGGATATAATACGAAAACATATGTACCGGATTGACCGCATAAAAAGCTATTCGCATAACTAGTGCCCATTACTCTCTATAATTGCAACATTGACCTTTCTTTCTCTCTCCTTTTCTCAGCAAAAATTTCATCTCCACAAGATTCCAAACAAAGAGAATTGATAGAAAGTGAGATTTGCAAAATTTATTCTGCCCCTCCTCTTGTCCTCTCTTATCATTAAAACACATATACTCTCTTTCTCTCTACCTATCTTTCTATCTCTCTCTCTCTCTAACTAGCGCCATGACTTCTCCTGTCTCCGACCATGCCTAGAGTTCTCGATCTCTGGTCTCCATCTAAGAACCCTAATTTATCTTCTCTCCTCCGTCTCCCCTGATGTTGAGATCATCAATAACGCTTTGTCTCGCTTCTCTCCGGCTTTTTTTGGCTTTTCCGGTGACCGGATTCTGCCATGGTTTCTGCTGCTGAATCCTCTTCCTCCTCGTCAACGCTTCTTCTTCCATGTGCATTTGCCAACAGTTTTGCTTTTATGAGGTTATTACAAAAAGCTCATCACTTCTCTGCCGTCTCTGAGGACGACGACAACAACAAAGACATTCGCTTAGGATCTGATCATCAGGCAAAAGATAATAACCATCACCAAGTTTGTAGGAGAGATTGTAGTTTCATGGCCGATCAAGAGGAGCCGAGGAGTACTACTTCTAGGTTAAGCTCCAAGGACGACGACCACGACAACAATAGCAATAACAATGATAATAATAACAACAACGAAGCCGAAGATAATGAGATGAGACAACAAGGGTGGCTCCGGTTAAGCATAGGCCACGAGGAGGACGTTAAACCGGATCTCGACCATCGGCAGCAACATCAAACCGATCCAACGGCTAGGAGAGACTCTTTTCTAGAGCTTAACCTTTTCTCTGGCGGTTCAAATAAAGAAGAAGAAGTTGGTCTTCCATTGTCATCTCTCTTTCATCATCAGCATCAACCCGGAGGGATGATGATTAATCCATTGATGTTCCATAACAGGCCTCAGGATATGATTGGTCCTTGGGCGGCGGCTGCGTTTAGAACGCCTTTTGTCCCACAAAACCTAACACAACCATCATCATCATCTGCATCTTTGATGATGCCATTGATGGGACCGTACTTTGGTCGCTCCAGTTTTCAGCCGCAGTTATTAGGGAATGATAATCCGGATGTGGTGGCTGGTCCAAGCTCGAGTTTTCGAGTCATTGATCCTCCCAGACGACCCCATTCCGGCATTTGGTTTCTCCTTCAAGCTTCTCAGAACCAGTAAGTATACGCTTACTTTTAATTGACTAGAGACTATGTTATGTAAGGTCCATCGGATTTTCAAGATTCCTAACCTTGTTTTAAATCATCATAAGGTATTCTGATCAAGATCTTATATTTTCAGAACATTAAAGTTTTTTAATTTTTTCTTTGGTGAACGTTTTAGGACAGTAGAACCATTCTTGCCTCAGATACCAAAGAGCTACTTGAGAATCAAGTAAGTTCTCGACGTTTATTAAGTCTCTACCATTTTCGTTATTTTATTCAACCAGCTAGCTAATTAATAAGAACTAACACATAAAACGATGTTAATTTTATCAAAAGTTTATGGCTAATTAAGTTTGATGCATGTTCCTGGATTTGGTAGGGACGGGAAGATGACTGTTCGACTGTTGATGAAATATTTGGTGAATAAGTTGCGATTGGAGCACGAATCCCAGGTTCCTAAAAAAATTCTCATCCCATTCTTTTAATTTCCCTTTCTTTAACTTTATTGTTCTAGATTCCATGTACACGTTGCTTGCCGTAACTACAATCTCCTTAGCTTTAAAAAGAAAAATCTAAAACGTTAAAATACCTTTTAAGCATTAAAGATGATGACAATAGTACGATAAAACAGAAACCTATTAGTAAAAGAAAATAAGCAAACGTGGAGAGGGTATATTCATGGGGGTTGGTGTACTGAGGAACATGACAGCAACATGGGAACTAAATTGCCACAAAAAGTGTCTCCATGTTAATTAGGTCACAAGTAGATGTCGTTGCTAGGTATAAGCCGTTTTGTTCTTTCTTTGTTTTATATGCTTATTATCCATAAATTGATTTTCAACCTTTTTCGACTTTGTCTTACTTGCTACTTTTTATAGTTTAGGCGTAATTGATTAACGGTCGCGAGCCATTAATTAGTGTCAAATATGATCAAATTCTCATTGAAGATGAGTGCACCCTTTAATTTATTTATTTTTATGCATATTATATAAATATATGGCATTCCACCTACCAACCTAAATATATATACACCCACATTGATTTATAGAATCTGATATCTTTAAATGCAATTATGTGTGTTTTCGTTTTTAAAATGTAAGTAAGTTTTAATAACAAAATATTAGCTTTTTTCATCAGATATTTATATATTATCTAATTTGTTCTCTAGATGAAGAACAACTAATAAGACTCACATAACCAAAACAAATAGGTCAACTAGTTTGGAGAAATACTGATTATGAAGTCATACTGCATCACATTATACGTACATGAACATATACATATATATCTACACATACGTAAATATATATATATATATATATATAGACGTACAACTGTTACTATAGCAATATCGCACGCTTCGTCTAGAGAGCTAGTTATTATCTCAAATGATGGATACAATAAAGTAACTTTCATATCATATGCATGCTGACTTATTTAAAATCTTACGAGTCGTCGAATATTTCATGAAACAAAAAAGTGTCCTTTCCATTTATTTGTTGATGAAAGAAATAGAATTCAATCCCTATAATTACGTACGATGCTTCTCGTGCAAATTTTAATCATTGATATCTGTGCATTTTTGCGCTCGCTTACCGATTATACGCTATACTAGTAAAACTTTATGATCCCTGAATTAATAAATACATTAATTTCCCAAAGAATAATTGCCATAAACAAAAACGAGACTTCTTTTCTCAAAGGATAAAGGGATAATTCAATTTTTCAGTGATTGTAACGTGCATGGAACGTCATTAATAGTATGCTTTTGATAATTACCAAACGATGCAAGCCGCACACATGAATCTTTTCGACGTCGTACGAAATTGCATGAGATACACATTTCAAGATCATCTAAACTTAATTATGTATACGTGTGTTTAATTTTTTTTTGTAGAATTTGCTTCTTTCCTTTCTTCCATGCATTTCTATATGGTATAAGATAATGCATATAAAATATTTAGAAATGTGTTATGTGTACCAGTATATATATATTCTCACTTGCAATTTTTTTAAAAAAGATTGTAAAGAATGAGACAAATTTAATTGAGATATACAGTACTCGGTTGTTTAAAATACGTTTGGTTGTAACTTGTAAGCATGTTTTCCTTGGAAGCTTAGAGGTATATTAAACTTATTAAACTGGGACACAGATAAATTTAACTATAATATTTAGGTCAACTAGATGTTTAAAATTTATTCAAATGACTTAAGTTTTGTTGGCTTGTTACATTAAGCCATGCCATGAAGTATGACAGATGAGATCGAGATTAATATAAAATTATATGTGGGTATGCGTATCTTTGTACTCTCTCTATACACATAACATATGTGATATGTCCATATCTTGATCAAATTATTAAGTTTTCATTGACAAGCTGTTCATTTCTTATCTGTTTCTCCTAAACGATAGAAAAGGTATATGATAAGATAAGGTGTATATTTGATCATATGTTTTATATTTATTGAATAGTTAAATTCATATAAAAATTAGCTTATACAGCACATGGAAATTGTAATTTGATATTTAATTAGTTAATTAGTGTATTAATTAGCGGGGATAGAAGAATGATTGCATAATCAGCATTTTCAGTATATCAGTGTGGATATAGATCTAAGGACTATTATTTGAAGATTGATTTTACTATTTTCGATCTTTTAAAAGTTGTATTAAACCCGAACACCAAAGATAGGGTTTACGTTCACAAAGTCATTATGGGCTGTTTTTTTTTAGTTGATCATTAATTAAAGTTGCAATTATGTTCATTAATAATGTATGTGTCTATGTGTGTGTTTATATTTTTAAGTGTGTAATATATATACATATATACTGTAATAATGATGTGAATGCGTGTGTATGATAGATTTGGGTAGGGCAAAGGTATCAAGAATGAATAATAAATATGAATGTAATGATTAGGCAGCCATAAGCTGACTTCGTGGAGGCATTGTTCTTTCATTTTTGTCTTTCTCCCTCTTTTTAAGTTTCCTTTGACTTTTTAGACGTAAGAAAAGTAGAAAACAAAAGGTTTTAAAAGCTAAAAGTATTCCATAAATTTGAAATTTCTTTTTGCCCCATGAAATTTTGTCAACTGTGTCGTTTTTTTTATTTTCCAACCATTAACGACATTACAAAACTTCCATTAGAAGGTTTTTAAAGTGGAAATCTTACAATTAAGAAAATAAAATAATAGAGAAAGAAGAGATAGAGTGAAGAGGTCTCAAATGAAAAACTTTGAGATATTTATGAGAACTCTCTAAAATCTTGTCTCTCCTTAATTGGTTTAATTTCTCAAAAATTAATTATGATGTTAAATGATATTAAGATATCAATATATTTTTTTTGAGAAATTTTGTGAGGTTTTTCGTGGATGGAGATGCTATCCTTCAGCTTTTTATTTGCGATGAACATAAAAAAAAAAAACTAATTGTTATATTTTATTCTTTTGAATAATTACTTTTGATTTTATAAAAAAATATACCATATTTTCCTTTGTTAATTAAAATATGATTACGTTTTCATTTATATATTCCACATGAATTTTGTATATAATATTGTAGCTCTACTCTTCTAACCTAGTAAAAACATTTCAACAGGAAAAAGTTTCTTATGCTCACAAAGTAAAAGCATATCTTTCATTTCTTTCCTTTCTTCCGCGTACACTAAAAATGAGAAGCATGTAATAAACTGAGAGGTTTAGCGAAACCGTCATGCTTATGTTAGAATTGGCTCATCAACACCTACAACTTCTTTCACTCGCCTTGGTTTAGCTAATTGTTCGTTAGTGTCTCGTGTAGGACCCTTTCTTTCACAAACCCCTAATGAATTCGGTGCTTGAAAAACCTTTCCCCATCAATCATACTCATATCCTCTTTAAGTGCTGCACTTTCTTAATTTTTCCATCATCCATCCACATCTATCCATCCAAATTTTAGATGTTTTCCTTTTGTTTGGAATCACACATCCCGCTGTCTTCATCAGCAGGACTTTGTTTAATTAACTTCTCCACTATATTTTCTTAACAATACACTGGTTTTGAACTTTGATCGATCGATCCGGCTACTTGAAAAAATAAAAAATTTGGATCCAACCATTTTCTGGTTAATTTGTGGATTTCACTTCATTTCATGGAATATGTTTGGTCCGAGGATGTCATCTTCGTGTGATGGATAATTTGCTTTCCTCGAAACATAATCTTACAAATTTGTCGTGTCACAACAAAATTTACTGCAATTTTGATGAAAATCTTTATTAGTAGATCACCAAACAAATATTTACACGGTCAATCACACTTAACCACAATTGTGACCAAACAAACATTTTTAATCCGCCGACAACTCTTTGTTGTAATCTCAAACCTCTCGTCTTAGTCTTGGCCGGTGAGTTTTCGTTTTTTTTTGCCAGTGATTTTTTTATATATCACAGTTAACTTGCTAACTGAAAATATATAAGATTTTCTAAATGCTTTTGAATGTAAAAAAATATTCTTTTTTTCGGTGCTTTGTTCAGATGGCTTCCATGTGTACTGGAAATCCCATTTAATAAGTCACTTTTTCAAAATCCACCAGGTTAAAAAATATCCTAGATGAAGTACTTCTAGAAAGAAAAATACATTTTACTGATATACCTCATAAATAATTTTTACATTCACTATCATTTATAATATGAGATTTTTTTTTTAGTATGTACAGTTTAGTGGCATAAAGAATCAAATTAATATTTTTAAGCAATATAATTGGATCATAATTGTTTTTTTCAAAATCTATAAATATTACACACATAATGCAATGTCTTTCGCAAACCACAATTTTTAACATGATGTTATGATGAAAGAGTAATTAAAATATTGTTTTCGTTTGCTTTTAATATAATCTATTTTATTAACATATTGTTTGTCAATATATAATTATGTATAATTATATTGCTCGGGATAGTATAACAATTAACAACACTAGCATAAATCACTAATTTATTATTTATATGTCAACAATGATATATTTCAACATCTACATTTCATTTTTGGACTTTAATGTGCCATTCTTGACCTGTGGAATCCATCTTTGTTTGACACGAATACTAGAAAACTTGCAAAATTATGTATATAGTTTTACATATTGTCACAAAATAGATTTTTATGTGTTTCTATCTTCATGACTCATTGAATTTAGAATCTAACCTTTTGATTTTTTCTCCATAAAATCTAACCTTTTGAATTAATGCAAAATATTCTTAAAAAATTACTTTCATAAAACTAGTTATTTCTTCTTTCAAATATACTTTTCCCAAATTTGACTGTCATAGTAGGAACCATTGGTGAATCCTATCGTTATAGAAAAACTCTTAATAGAAATGCTCTCATCAGCTAGGCAAACAAAAACGTCGTACCTTATTGTTTAGCAAATCCAAAACAGTCCCACCAATATATAAAAAAAAATTTGAGACCTCCATTTCTTAAATTTCATTGGCCCAATGTTTGTAGTTATTACGTCAAATCCTTTTACTAGAGTGCATTTGTCCTTTAAAATTTATTTATTTAGCTATCTATTTCAATTTTCAGAAAATAACAATAAAGTATATTACGA